AGTTGCTTTGTTTCATTGCGGTTCATTAGTTTGATAATTAGTTAGCTTGCTTTGATTGTTTTTGTTGTGTTGCTTGCTTGCTTGCTTTCTTGCTTGCTTGCTTGCGTGCGTGCTTTCTTGCTTGCTTGCTTGCTTGCCTGCTGGCTTGCTTGCTTGCTTGCTTGCCTGCTTGCTTGCTTGCTTGCTTTCTTGCTTTGTTATGTGTGTGGGTGTGTGGATGTCTTGTGGTGCTTGTAGTAGCACCTTTGTGTTCAGGTCTCATGACAGAAGCGTGGCCAGTGGCGCATGGGCGATAAGTTGCATGCTCCAGGATTTGAGAAGGTGCTTCATTTGCCTAATGTTCAGTGACGAAGTTCCACCCTGAATCCGTTACCCGTGATGAGAGCAGGGCAGCATGTGAGCTTGCATGGAAAGGCAGAGTGAGTAGCAACGCTTGAGTGGTTTCGGGGCAGTGGGCGGGGCAAGTAAGAGGCTTGGAGCTGGGTGGGCGAGGGGTATGCCGCACATGTGGGCATGGGGAAGGTTGCTTAGGAGATACTGTTGTGTCGCCGCCGACGTGGAGAGCTTGAGAGTTTGGTGTTGGTTGTTGAGATGCTGAGATGAGAGTTGTGGTGTGTTCTGTGCGTTGTCTAAGTTGCTTAGTTTCACTACTGTTCATTAGTTTGATAGTTAGTTAGCTTGTTTTGTCTGCTTTGGTTGTGTTGCTTGCGTGCTTGCGTGCGTGCGTGCTTGCTTGCCTGCTTTCTTGCTTGCTCGCGTTTTCGTTTTTTTTTGTGTGTGTGTGTGTGTGTGTGTGGATGTGTTGTGGTGCTCGTAGTAGCACCTTTGTGTTCAGGTCTCACGACAGAAGCGGGACCAGTGGCGCATGGCCGATAAGTTGCATGCTCAAGGATTTGAGAAGGTGCTTCATTTCACTGATGTTCAGTGACGAAGTTCCACCCTGAATCCGTTACCCGTGATGAGAGCAGGGCAGCATGTGAGCTTGCATGGAAAGGCAGAGTGAGTAGCAACGCTTGAGTGGTTTCGGGGGCAGTGGGCAGGGCAAGTAAGGGGAAGGTTGCTTAGGAGTTACTGTTGTTTCGCCGCCGACGTGGAGAGCTTGAGAGTTTGGTGTTGGTTGTTGAGATGCTGAGATGAGAGTTGTGGTGTGTTCTGTGCGTTGTCTGGGTTTCTTTGTTTCATTACGGTTCATTAGTTTGATAATTAGTTAGCTGGTTTTGTTTGCTTTGGTTGTATTGCTTGCTTGCTTGCTCGCGTGCCTGCGTGCGTGCTTGCTTGCTTGCTTTCTTGCTTGCTTGCCTGCCTGGTTGCTTGCTTTCTTGCTTTTTTGTGTGTGCGTGTGTGGATGTGTTGTGGTGCTCGTAGTAGCACCTTTGTGTTCAGGTCTCACGACAGAAGCGGGACCAGTGGCGCATGGCCGATAAGTTGCATGCTCAAGGATTTGAGAAGGTGCTTCATTTCACTGATGTTCAGTGACGAAGTTCCACCCTGAATCCGTTACCCGTGATGAGAGCAGGGCAGCATGTGAGCTTGCATGGAAAGGCAGAGTGAGTAGCAACGTTGAGTGGTTTCGGGGGCAGTGGGCAGGGCAAGTAAGAGGCTTGGAGCTGGGTGGTCGAGGGGTATGCCGCACATGTGGGCATGGGGAAGGTTGCTTAGGAGTTACTGTTGTGTCGCCGCCGACGTGGAGAGCTTGAGAGTTTGGTGTTGGTTGTTGAGATGCTGAGATGAGAGTTGTGGTGTGTTCTGTGCGTTGTCTGAGTTGCTTTGTTTCATTACGGTTCATTAGTTTGATAATTAGTTAGCTTGTTTTGTTTGCTTTGGTTGTGTTGCTTGCTTGCTTGCTCGCGTGCCTGCGTCCGTGCTTGCTTGCTTGCTTTCTTGCTTGCTTGCCTGCCTGCCTGCTTGCTTTCTTGCTTTGTTATGTGTGTGCGTGTGTGGATGTGTTGTGGTGCTCGTTGTAGCACCTTTGTGTTCAGGTCTCACGACATAAGCGGGACCAGTGGCACATGGGCGATAAGTTGCATGCTCAAGGATTTGAGAAGGTGCTTCATTTCACTGATGTTCAGTGACGAAGTTCCACCCTGAATCCGTTACCCGTGATGAGAGCAGGGCAGCATGTGAGTTTGCATGGAAAGGTAGCGTGAGTAGCAACGCTTGAGTGGTTTCGCGCGGCAGTGGGCAAGTAAGAGGCTTGGAGCTGGGTGGGCGAGGGGTATGCCGCACATGTGGGCATGGGGAAGGTTGCTTAGGAGATACTGTTGTGCGCCGCCGACGTGGAGAGCTTGAGAGTTTGGTGTTGGCTGTTGAGATGCTGAGATGAGAGTTGTGGTGTGTTCTGTGCGTTGTTTGAGTTGCTTTGTTTCCTTACGGTTCATTAGTTTGATAATTAGTTAGCTTGCTTTGATTGTTTTGTTTGTGTGGCTTGCTTGCTTGCTCGCTTGCTTTCTTGCTTGCTTGCGTGCGTGCTTGCTTGCTTGCCTGCTGGCTTGCTTGCTTGCCTGCCTGCTTGCTTGCTTTCTTGCTTTGTTATGTGTGTGCGTGTGTGGATGTGTTGTGGTGCTCGTTGTAGCACCTTTGTGTTCAGGTCTCACGACATAAGCGGGACCAGTGGCACATGGGCGATAAGTTGCATGCTCAAGGATTTGAGAAGGTGCTTCATTTCACTGATGTTCAGTGACGAAGTTCCACCCTGAATCCGTTACCCGTGATGAGAGCAGGGCAGCATGTGAGTTTGCATGGAAAGGTAGCGTGAGTAGCAACGCTTGAGTGGTTTCGCGCGGCAGTGGGCAAGTAAGAGGCTTGGAGCTGGGTGGTCGAGGGGTATGCTGCACATGTGGGCGTGGGGAAGGTTGCTTAGGAGATACTGTTGTGCGCCGCCGACGTGGAGAGCTTGAGAGTTTGGTGTTGGCGGTTGAGATGCTGAGATGAGAGTTGTGGTGTGTTCTGTGCGTTGTCTGAGTTGCTTTGTTTCATTACGGGTCATTCGTTTCATAATTAGTTAGCTTGTTTTGTTTGCTTTGGTTGTGTTGCTTGCTTGCTTGCTTGCTTGCTTGCTTGCTTGCTTGCTTGCTTGCTTGCTTGCTTGCTTGCTTGCTTGCTTGCTTGCTTGCTTGCTTGCTTGAATGCTTGCTTGCTTGCTTGCTTGCTTGCCTGCCTGCTTGCTTGCTTGCTTGCTTGCTTGCTTGCTTGCTTGCTTCCCTGCTTCCCTGCTTTCTTGCTTGCTTTCTTGCTTTGTTATGTGTGTGTGTGTGGGTGTGTTGTAGTACTCGTAGTAGCACCTTTGTGTTCAGGTCTCATGACAGAAGCGTGACCAGTGGCTCATGGGCGATAAGTTGCATGCTCAAGGATTTGAGAAGGTGCTTCATTTCACTGATGTTCAGTGACGAAGTTCCACCCTGAATCCGTTACCCGTGATGAGAGCAGGGCAGCGTCTGAGTTTGCATGGAAAGGTAGAGTGAGTAGCAACGCTTGAGTGGTTTCGGGGGCAGTGGGCAGGGCAAGTGAGAGGCTTGGAGCTGGGTGGTGGAGGGGTATGCCGCACATGTGGGCATGGGGAAGGTTGCTTAGGAGTTACTTTGTATCGCTAGTGACGTGGAGAGCTTGAGAGTTTGGTGTTGGTTGTTGAGATGCTGAGATGAGAGTTGTGGTGTGTTCTGTGCGGCACTATCCATTAGCTTGATTACCAGCTAGTTTTTTGTTTTGCGTGGATGCTTGCTTGCTTGCTTGCTTGCTTGCTTGCTTGCTTGCTGGCTGGCTGGCTGGCTGGCTGGCTGGCTGGCTGGCTGGCTTGCTGGCTTGCTGGCTTGCTGGCTTGCTGGCTTGCTTGCCTGCTGGCTGGCTTGCTGGCTTGCTGGCTTGCTGGCTTGCTGGCTTGCTGGCTTGCTGGCTGGCTTGCTGGCTTGCTGGCTTGCTGGCTTGCTGGCTTGCTGGCTTGCTGGCTTGCTGGCTTGCTGGCTTGCTGGCTTGCTGGCTTGCTTGCTTGCTTGCTTGCTTGCTTGCTTGCTTGCTTGCTTGCTTGCTTGCTTGCTTGCTTGCTTGCCTGCTTGTGTGCGTGCTTGCTTGCTTGCCTGCTTGCCTGCTTGCTTGCTTGCTTGCTTGCTTGCTTGCTTGCTTGCTTGCTTTCTTGCTTTCTTGCTTTCTTGCTTTCTTGCTTTCTTGCTTTCTTGCTTTCTTGCTTTCTTGCTTTCTTGCTTTCTTGCTTTCTTATGTGTGTGGGTGTGCGGGTGTGTTGTGGTGCTCGTAGTAGCACCTTTGTGTTCAGGTCTCACAGCAGAAGCGTGACCTGTGGCGCATGGGCGATAAGTTGCATGCTCAAGGATTTGAGAAGGTGCTTCATTTCACTGATGTTCAGTGACGAAGTTCCACCCTGAATCCGTTATCCGTGATGAGAGCAGCGCCTGCGAGTCAGGTTTCAAAGGAGAATGCTAGTACCAATGGTTGAGCCGATGCAGACATCAGGGGAAAGGAGAAGCTTGGCGGAGAATTGTTGCTGAAATGAAGGTTTGCCAAGACCATGCTGAGCTGCGCGCTTCTTGTAACTTGTTCGGGGTGGACCTACTTGTGTTGGGAACACAGACGAATCTCCGGAGAAAGCTGCCTCAAACCACCTCAGAGCTCCCCGCAGCCTTCAGCCCTTGGGCATTCAAAACACGTCTTTTCAGCCATCCAACTCCTTTTTTCGAGGGGGGTGGGGGGGTGATAAAGAACACAGCTTTGATAAAGAAAACACACATGTTCCAACCCATCCAGCTTTCAGCCCTGGGGGATGCCTCACGTTCTCTCAGCCACCCAGCTTGTTGTTTTTGTTTTTGCGTATTTGCTTGGGGTGAAGAACCCACCTTTGATCCAGAGAAAACACCTGCAAAAAACAACGCCCTCCAGCCCTCATGTTTTTCTATTTGGTGGGGGGGAACACAAACCTTTAACGAAAACACCTTTTTCCTTGCCCTCCAGCTCGCGCTTTTCTCCTCCTCCTTTTCTCTCCCAAAAAGTCGGAGGCCTTCGAGGTGCCGGTGGTCCACGTGAACGCGGACGACCTGCGGGCGGTGGACCGGGCCTTCCGGCTGGCGGCGGATTGGCGCCAGGAGTGGCGGGAGGACGTGGTGGTGGACCTCGTGGGCTACCGGAGGCGGGGAGATGGGGGGTGAAGTAGAAATGTTTTCGCGCGGGGCGGGCGGCACACGGCAACACTTGTTAATTTATTTGTTTTTTTGGGGGGGGGAGAGGAACCAGGGGGGGTGTTTGGGTGAAGTTTTCAGAGTTTGTTTTTTGTGTCTTGTGACTCTGTTGTTGGTGCGGGGTTTCACGAATGCCAGCCTCCACAGCCATTTGTGATAGTCCTCATGTCTCATGGAGTTAGACAATTCTGGAGATACCCCTAGGTCCTGAAGTTCCTTGGCTTGGTGTTGGAATTCATGGAAACAAGGGAATCTGCGGGTCGACCCGCCTAGGGGCCCTTTTGGAGTTGAACCACTATGTCTCAGGAGAGGGGCACCCCTAAACTGAGTGTTTTTTTTCTGGCCGGTTTCCCTTTTCTATTCCCCCCAAGCCGGGTACCTCCCAAAAAACGGAGCAAATTACAGGGAAGTACACCAGGGGTTGCCGTTTTTCCCCGAGCCTTTGGTTTTCATGTTCGATCTGAAAAGCCGCCAGGTTCGGCCACAACGAGACGGACCGCCCGGCCGCCTCCGCGCCCTTGTCCTACGCCAAAGTGGCCAGCCACCCCGAGGCGGCGGAGATCTTTGCGCAGCGCCTGGCGCCTCGTTGCCAGGGCGCCAGCGGTTCGGGCGGAAATTCAAAGAACAGCTGGACGCAAAACCCGGTTGCCCAGTGGCGCCTTTTTCTTCTTCTTCTTCTTCTTTTCTTTTGTTCCTTTTTTTGAGAAGGGTTCCCCTTTAAACTTAACCAACCAAGAAAATTATGCCCATTTGTTTTTCCATACTGGCATCTGCGAACATATCTAGGCTGCTCTAAGGCAATCCACAGGCCGAGATGACAACCGAGCCTCACAAGCTCCACAGAGTTTGAACCAAAACTGGGCTGTTCAAAGTCAACAATCCTTAATCCTTGCCTTACGCGAGGGTTTGTTTCTCCAATAGGGTTTTCCAATAGGGATGATGGATTAGGATTGGCCAACCTTCCATTTTTAGCAGCCCAGGATGTGGGTGTTGTTTGTTTTCCTCCAGGGGAACCCAAAAACAACCTCGGGGTGTTCTTTTGGTTCGCCTTTAAGCCAATCAGGAAGGGGACCCTCAAAATGGGTTTTCCTTAAACCGAGCGGTGCCCTCCAAAAATGGGACACTCGTATGGGTATGAACTTTGCTGGTTTTCGGCGCTTGAGGTTCCCCATTAACATTCACAGCTATATATATACGGGGATGTATCTCGTTTTCCCGTGGGGTAGCTTGGGATTGTCCCTTCAGGCAGTGGCAGTTGTATCCCCCATTAAGCCGTGCGTGTCTGGGTGCAGATACCGATCGGGCTTAGGGGTTAAGGCCGAGGGCAGCTGGAGAAGAAGAAAAACCAACGTGCACAAACAACCAACCAAACAAGCAATGGAACAAGCCGAACAGAGCAAAGCGACATGCAAGAGCAACAAAGCAAGTTGGCAGGGAACGCATCACCAAGAAAGCAATCAACCCACCGAAAAGGGGGCAGATTCAACCAACCAAATTTGGCACATGCCGAGTTGATGTGTGAAACATCCAAGAGCGTGTCTTTTTTCGGGGAGTTGGTACCCTTCTTTGGGATCCCTCAGCTGTTGTGTCCTTTTTGGGGTTGGTACATGTTGGTACCCGTCAAACGGGGTGGTTTTGACAGGAGCACATGTCACAACTTTGGGGCAACGGCCTAGACTTTTCTGCTACAGCTGCACCTTTGAAAGGGGGTTCGAGCAGCACCCCAGCGGGGGGCTGGTCTCTCGGGTCTGTCGAGTCCGTCGCGTGAGGTGGTAGAAGGGAAGCTGCAGGAGCAACAAGTCCAGGACCGATGCCGCCCCGTCCGGGACAGGGCTCCGAATGGCTTCCGGATGTTCAAAAGGCCTGAGGTAGCCCACCGTCCCTAGCTGATAACCCTTCGCCGTTGTCCGAAGCGGTTTTTCGAGGACGGGTGATACATGGAATCGCTGGGTACCGTTTTAACCATGGCACGCCCAACCAACCCTTGGTTTCGTACGGCGCTTGGGTGCCACGAGTGGCTGCAATGGTGCGACTCAGATGCCACTGAGCCACCTGCTCAAAAAAAGGTAGCCTCAAAAAAGGCACCATACACGCAGGCAAACATGGAGGGAGCCTTTCAAGCTGGCAATTGAAGATCATATGGCATAGTGGATGCCCCCGCATTCGCAGACTATTGTGCTATCTTTGGTGACCAAGTTGATGTGGTCATTGTTGTGGCTGCCGTTGACTGCTTTTCCACAATACGCAGCAATAAACGTGTTGTTCTGAGACGGCCTAGTTCTAACCATGACATTCATCCAGCGAAGACCTTTGTTGGCGGCTTAGCCTTTGAGCACCCCCAACCCAGCCGGCTTTCCAGCTTCCAGTTCGTTCGGGTCTGTTGGTCGCCTCCGAACTTGCATCCAAGTTGCAACTGGAAGGAGTTGGCGAACTTAGGTAGGGGGCGAAATAGCTAGATATATATATATATATATATATATATACATTTATCCTATCACACACTGACATATACAAGTTTGGCTCAACAGTATCCCAGTTCATATGAATTAGGCCCTAAGAAGTGGCTTGAGAACTGCGCCAAAACGCAATCCCGACCTGGGTATGGTCACTGTACGCATCTTGGGGTTGTGTTTCTTTCGAAGGGAAACCTGATGGAGCATAGTTTAATGAGGAAGACACATTTTGCATGTGGCAAGAGCCCCAATCGTGGCTGACTGGTTGATCTCTTCAAACTTGTGCTAGCTTTATGGATTGGTTGGGTATGCGACTCGGTATTTGCCCACTATACCCTCGATATGTGTCTTATGGAATTTCTCACTTGCCCAAATCGAACGGAGATGTGACAGTCACTTCCTTTTTCCAAATTGGGTTCCCATGTCTAGTGAAGCTTTCAACCCCTCAGCCTTCTCTTCGTAGGTGCTGTGGGCAAATGTCGAATTGGGGAGCCCTTGACATGATGCAGTTGCCCGTATTGTTTGTTTTGAAAGGATGCCCTCCCAAAAAGAACAGGCGTGTGTTACGTTTGGCCATCAGGCGGTTTGGGTGTCCTCAGTTCCGGGTTTAAAGTTCATAGAACGTGTCTCAAAATGAGGGACCCCCTCCCAAGAAAAAAAGTGGAGCTGAGTCGCAGCCTGAGTCCCATGAGCATTGAGTTCCAGGGCTTACATTGCGAGTGTTTCTTCAAGCCCCAAATGGTTGGTTGCGTTCTCTTCAAGCACCAACCAAAAAGGGGGGTTCACCAATTCGGATCCCGTACAATCTGAAGTTGTTCGTGGAAGTATCGCAGAATTGTGGGTAGGGATGCTTGAGAGAAAGTCAATCTCTTGACATGTTGCTCAGGACACTGGGTTGCTGTTGGGGCAGAGTTCTGTTGTGGCAGAGGACAAAACAAACAAAACTGAGGGACCCGAGATGCCCTTGAAATCGGCTGGGTGTGTGTTTTTGGAGTTGGTATTCTTGGGGGTTGTTTTGAAGGACCGAGAAACCACCCCCGCTCGCTCCCCTTTGCGACAAACCAAGCTAGAGCTCGGGAGTGCAGTTTTTTTTGTTTGCGAGCGGGAGAGGGAGTGTGTTGGCCATGTCTAAACCTCCGGCGGTTTCCTGGGATTTCCCGGATTTCTGCGAGGAGATGCGGGCGGAAATTCTGGACGAGCTGAACAGAGAGTTTCTGGAGAAGGAGAGGCGCGGGATTCCAAACTGATTTCATGTGTAGCCCAGACTGAGGGCTGACCTGGGGTCGTTTGCCTTCAACATGTTTTTTGGTGTGTGTGTGTGTGTGTGTGTGCGCGTGTGTGTGTGTGGCATCCATTGCCACATTGTTCCCCTTCTTTTGGGATGTCCCTTGTTGCCGTGCTGGAAATCCACTGCAAGCCCTACACATCCATGACGGGTGTCCTTTTTCATACATTTAGATTGGGGATATCAATATGGGTTGGGGCACAGTTGTCGAATGTGCGACTCAAATACGTGGTTGCCTTGGATGATCAGATTCAGGCAAAAGTACAATGTTTGCCTGTTTCTTTTTGCAACAGAAGTCCCCTGTGGTTTTCTTGCAAGTCCCCTGTGGTTTTCTTGCAACAAAAGAAAGCCACCAGGCGTTTATGTGGCGTTGAGGATTCCGGATGAGAGAACCGCGGCTCGCGCTGTTATTTCGTCTTAGAGATGAAGCGCTCAGCGCATGATCAACGCAGGGTAGGAAGCTATGGGGAATCTGTCTCCGGCTTCCTTTTGGTTTCTCCACCCTTAGACTGGCATAGAACCCTCAAAAGGAGGGGGCCCAGTTGAAAGGCCAACGACCTGCTTTGTGGGCCTACAAACCAAAAAGGAGAAGACGGGTGAACAGCAGGAGGTTGGAATAACAGGGACCCACTGAAAAGTGAATTGCCAAACAGGGGCGCCAATAACTGGTGGCTTTCGATTCGGTTTTCCTTCCAACCTGAAAAGGGTACCCGGTACCCTCAACAAGAGACAAAACCAAGAAGCTAACTGGCTCATTCCTTTTGTCGATTCTGATCTCCCCAAAAATGGCGCAACTGGTTTGCTGTTGGTTTCCCTTTAGCACCACCCAAAAAAAAGACGGGGGGTACCCCCGTCCATTGACATTGAACCCACCAGAGGGTTCCTTTTTTCTTGCGGACCTCGGCAGGTTCCATGTTAATGGCCAGGAGGTCCTTAAGCAGCAAAGGCGACACCCCCAACGGCTGGCCGGAGGCACAAGACCGACGGCCTGGACTGGGTCCTGGGCAAGTACCGGGGTCGCATCGACGAGGGGCGGCGGCCCAAGCAGGCGACGTGGCTTTGGTATTTTGGGGAGGTGGAGGCCGTGGGTTTGCAACCAAAGAAAACATCAGGTGGGTAAGGGTCAAAATGCACCCCCGCAGGGGAAAACAAAACACGCAGGCTTTAGTCCATGTTTCTATTTAGGTTCTGTTTTGGTACCTATTTTTGACCCACAGCCAAGTGTGTGGTGTCTTTTTTACACCCTTGTTATATAGGGTTAGTTCAAAGGGAAGCCATTTTTGGACCATTTTTGGGGTACCCCTATTTTAAGACGCACGCAAACCTTTTAGGAAAGCCAACAAGAAAACCAGCATTTTGCGGGGTCCCAAACAAGCCTTCATAATGCAGTGGATGGACAAACAGAGCTGAGAGGGTCCTCGAGTTTACCCAGTACAGGGGTTGCTCCTTCTTTCCGAAACGCGAACCGATGACATCAAGGGTGGAAAATTGAATGGCTTCCTTTGGGATGGGGTCAACCCTGTGCAAGAATCTACTGGGTGACCCACATATCCATGTTGTAAGTCCAAGTGGGTTACGACCATGAATACTCTAAGCCTGTTTGGGCCATTCACAGCGGCAAGATGCTTCCGAATTGTTCTGCGAAATGGGGTCCTTTTCGTTCGTTGTCCTTTCCCTATGGGGCTAATGCAGCTAGGATTGGCCAGCCCTCCATTTTCTGGGGTAGACTTAGGATACATTTTACATTTTACCAGTAACTCAAAGTGAAGCAACCAATAAAATATATATTCTATGACTGGGCCTAACTCTAATCATGTTTTGAACAGCCCAGTTTGTTTGGCCCCCCAAAGACCAGATGGCCAAAGGGGGCGGCGTCAACCCGCTTGGCCGGCGGATGTCAAGCCCGGGTTTCAGTCAGCTTCAGAAGTCTTTTCCCAGCTTGGAACATGCTGCTTGCGGCTGTTGTCCATCACCTGAGTAGTCTTTCAGTAAGTATTGTTTAGAATTGGTTTAGTATTGGTTTAGTATTCCTTTGAGCTGGCTCACTACGGTTTAGAATTGGTTTAGTATTAGTTCAGTATTCTTTTCAGTTGACTCACTACAGTTTAGAATTGGTTTAGTATTGGTTCAGTATTCTTTTCAGTTGACTCACTACATTTTAGAATTAGTTTAGTATTGGTTAAGTATTCATCTGAGCTGACTCACTAGTATTGGTCTAGCATTGGCTTTACCTGAGAACAGCGGGGCTTTCTTCTTGGCAGGCTGCCCTGGCCAATTTTTTTCACAATTCCCTACCCTTAAACAAACTGCATTATTGCCTTCCTGGGGGTTCCGTGTGCCACCCCCTTCAAAATTTGTCAGGGTGCATCTTCTAGTAAAGGGATTGATAAGGAATTTGGTGGTTTGGGACAGGAAGCAATCCAGAGATTGTGGACATTTGTGGCTTTACCTGAGAACAGTGGGGCTTTCTTCTTGGCAGGCTGCCCTTGAAATGTGGCGTTGGACTCAAACGTTTCAACCCTCAAAAATAGTCCATTCTTGGAAGGGAACATATTTTCGGGATTTCGGGCCGATTTTTTTTGTGTAATACCTACCCTTTTTGCTTTTCAGGAGAGTGAATAATTTTGAGATTTTTTTTCTGTATTCACTCCCATTATACTAATCGCTATCCAACATTACTGATGGGGCCGAAGCAATAGGAATAGGGTTGTGGGATACTCTTGAACTCTGACCAGCTTTGGTCATGACCGTAGGCAATCTTGTATCTAGTTATCAAATTGCCCCGTATATCTCTCTAAAGCCTTTGATCAATGCAATCTCTTGCGCTTGAGGTACACAGCACAGGTGTTTACACGTCTTCACGCTCAGTCATGTCTTCTTGTGTTTGGAGTCTCTTTGTTGATATTTGCTAGGCGCGCGAAACCTCCGCTTAGGAATAGAGGCTCTTTTTGTTTCTGGGTCCTCCTCGGGTTGATCTGAACCTTTGCCGCTGGATCCGATTGCCACTGCAGGGCCCTATTGCTCCTTGAGGCGCATGAAGGCTTGCAGCCTTTTCAAAGACCAAAGCTCGTTCTTGACACCATAGGGAGAAAGGGCCCAGACTTCCAGTGGGGCGTTTCCTTTTTTTCAGCTTCTCTTTTCCCTTCAATTCAACCAACAAAAGGCACCTTTCGTCCATTGGAGTTCAGGAACATGAGTTTTGTATATGGACGTTATACATCATATACATATCCGTATAGTACATGGCTATATACAACATACCCTTATTATATGACTCTATATATATATATATGCATGGTGTATATATATATATATATGCTACCCCCCCCCCCAGGGACCTACCTTGTGGTTGCCTCTCCAGTGCATGAATTGCCCATCTAGGACTGGGAGGAACGATCTCTCAACTAGGACCAGGACCAAATGAGACTAGAACCCAGGATCTCTCAACTGGGACTAAGACCAAACTAGGACTAGACGACCCACCTCAGATTCTTACAAAAAATGAACTTCAAGTATAACTTCCTCTGCAATGTCCTGTATGTTCTAATTATTGCAGTAAACTAGGGAGCAACCTAACACTAGAACCAAGGATCTCTCATCTAGGACCAAACTAGGACTAGACCATTTAATTCCACTTCTTATAGTATTTGGATGTCAAGTATTACATTCTGGTGGAAAAAGAGTCCTGTTTAATATTTGGTCCTAACATGTAAATTCTGACTGGATATTCTCCTTATTTCAAATTCAACTGTTCAGCTAGAAGTTGCATAGAACTTGACTAATATATTAACTACAATTCATAAATGTCCTTTATACGTTCTATGTATTTCAGTAAGCTAGGACTTGGCCTAGAACCAAGGATCTCCCAACTAGGACTAGGACCAAACTAGGACTAGCTAGTCCTGAAAGTGATTGAATTTCAATGTACAATGGTCTATTGGACAGGAAATCGTTTGTACCATTTAATTTGACATAAACAATCAATATTTAACTTCGAATCTAAATCGCAATTTTTGCTGGAGTATGTCCTTCTTAATCTCCACTGAATTTCAATCAGAAACAAGGTCGAATTTGATAAAACATACTAAGTGGAATGCATAAGGACAGAATCCAAAGGTCCCAAACTTGTGTCTTTCACTAGTCCTAACACTACCTTGGTCAGAAAACACCGTAAACACAGGGTTGTGTAGCGTTTTTCATACTCAATTCACATCTCCACCAACGAACGCTCTCTAAATGCTCATTTGAACTTGAACAGGATTTAATTGGGACTCAATACGGAAATATTTGGTCAGAATCCTAATGGTAATCAAATTTGAGATTGCGAGTTTAAATAGAGTTCCTTTCCCAATATATACTTGCAATTCAATATGCGCTTTAACAGGATTTGATAGGGAAAGAACCCATATTCTCTAGACAAGTCTTCTTTGCAAACGCGAGTCCAGGCCCAAGTGAAACCCATTGAGACCGACTGAAATTTCAGTTGAGCCTGGGTTCAAGATTCCCTAGAAAACTTTGACCTGCAATCTTGAATGTGGGCCTAGATTGAAACAGATTGAATGAATAATCAACACTTGGATGCTTGCACAACACTGTGCCAAAGTACAGCCGCGCAAAGTGCAATGTTGAATTTGGGTCTCGATTTAAACCGATTTAAATCGATTTAAGTTTAAATCGGGCATGGATTCAAGATTCAAGATTCAAGAATCCAGGCCAAACTTTTCCAGGGAATCTTGAATCCAGGCGTCGATTTAAACCGATTTAAACCGATTTAACTTAAATCGAGCATGGATTCAAGATTCAAGATTCAAGAATCCAGGCCAAACTTTTCCAGGGAGTCTTGAATCTTGAATCTTGAATCCATGCCCGATTTAAGTTAAATCGGTTTAAATCGGTTTAAATCGACGCCTGGATTCAAGAATCCTGGAAAAGCTTGGCCTGGATTCTTGAATATTGAATCTTGAATCCATGCCCGATTTAAATTAAATCGGTTTAAATCGGTTTCAATCAAGCCTGGAGCTTCCAGAACGTCCTTGGAAATGCTTCGTTTTCATTGCTCTCCCCAAAGCCCAAAAAAGGGTAGACAACACTGCAAATACCAGTGAATTCATCAAAAAGGTAGGTCCCTGGGGGGGGGGGTACCATATAGCTACCCCCCCCCCCAGGGACCTACCTTGTGGTTGCCTCTCCAGTGCATGAATTGCCCATCTAGGACTGGGAGGAACGATCTCTCAACTAGGACCAGGACCAAATGAGACTAGAACCCAGGATCCATATATATATATATACACATAAGCATGTCATATCTACCTGCAGCTTGATGTTAATTCGTCGTGGCCCAGCTCCTGTGCAACTTGGGCACCTCGCATCGGCCAGGTTCGAGGCATCACCGGCGTGCCCCTGGAGACCCTCACGCACATCGGCGCGGGGTTGGGGGTTTGCGAGCTCGGGGGGTCCACCCAACAACTGGAGCATCCATTGGTGCAGCGTCTTTATTTGCTTCTTTTTCATTTTTATTTGTAATGTTTTTGGTTTGTTTATTTCTTGTGTAATTATGTACTATAGGTGTTGAATGCCATGTTTTCCAAACAGGGGGAATGGCTGTGGAAATCCTCAGAAAATGCAGCCATCTGTGGAGGAATTCCCCTTGGGCAAGCACCGTTTTTCGGCTCCTCTTGGTTTCGCACTGATCGTTTGCTCACGTCGATAGTTCATTTCTCCCGGGTTGCCAAGGAATATGGACAATGCGGGGGCATTTTTTTTTTCCCCACTCCCCAAGTAGTTTGTAAAGTTTCAAGGACCACTTTGAGGGGGACATGTTCAGGTCAGCCTCAATTGGTGGTTTGGGGATGTGACTTTCCGGGCCCACCGCTTTCTCAGCTTCGGTTTCCGGGGAGGCGAGGCGATGGTGCGCGCGCCGGATGAGACCCTAACCGAGGCCCGGGAACGAGAACCGTTCCGAGCGGTTCCGGGCGGGGCGGGTCTAGGCAAGTGTTTCACACTGGGCAGTCTTGTGGAGCTTCTGTTCGGGAAATTTGGGGGAGCGGGTTTCCATTGGGATGACATCTCTCCAAGAATTGGTCACGGACTTGAGATTGGTGGTTCCCTGCTGAATACCGGATAATTAACTATGTGACGGTTGCCTGGGGTTATAAAAGTCAGAAACTGGGGGTTTGTCGCTTTAACCTATCACTTAGGAGGTGGCTTTGTTAAAATCATGGAGCAACAGGTGGTTAAAATATCCCCAGATACTTCCCCGTGTGGGTTAAAGCCCATGAAACGGGACTCTGAAAATAGCCACTGCCTTTGTTTCGAGAGCTGTGGGTGTGACCCCCCTAGGGTTGGGGGCAGTGAACGGGGCGAACTTGGAAGGCGCTATGAATATGAAGTTCTTACCTTCTCAGACCTCAGGTCTTTAAGTTCCAGGTGCGAAAAAAAGAAAAAGAAGAGAAGAGTTCCTTGTAGGATCTTCTATGAATATTAAGAACTCCTGGCCACTGGCTTCCCTTTCTGAGACCATCCTGGGGCCGTATCCTCAGACCTCGGAAAGCCACTGACCTGGAGGCCCTGCCGATTTGTTGTACCGCAAGACAAATCGGAGAGCTAGGCTCCGCGATGTTTCTCTCAAAATATATAGGGTCCACAAAAAATATGTTGGGTGTCCTTTTCCGTTTTAAATACCAAGGGTCACAAGGCCATTTGTGTGAGTCTTTTTTTTGGAAGACCTGTCCCCCCCTCCCCCAAATCTTGGTCTCCCTTTTGGTTTCCTTTGAAGCCAACCAACAAGGGGACACCCTCCAAAAAAAGCAACAAAAAAACCAACCAAACAAACATCAACCAAAATAAAACAACCAAACAATCAAGAAAACAACACAACAACAACCCAAGAAAAAGCAACCAAACAAAGCCAACAACCCCCCCCCCCGAAAGAAATAGAAGAAACAACGAAAAAACCAACAACAACTCGCTGGAGGTGGGCCAGCTGCTGGCGCGGCGCGAGGCACAGCTGGTGCCCGGGGGGCGGGTGGACTTTGCCACCGCCGCGCCTCGGCGCGACGCCCGGGGGGCCTCCGCGGGGCCCGCGGCTCGCTCCCCCACACCAGGCGCCGTTCGATGCCTGGACTTCCGGTGGCTGATTTTTTTCCTTTTTTTCTTTTTGAAGGCTTGTGCTCTTTCTCTCTTTTTTTCAAGACTTCCATTTGCTTGAGAGTCGATTTTCCGTATTTTCCCTTGTTGGTTTTGAAAGGAGTTTGTCACTGCTGGACATATTGTTGTTTTTTCCAGGGGTCTCAACCAAATGGAAGTAGACTATGACCAGATTGAGGGCAAAACGAGCTCCCTGATGATGAAGGTCCCCACAGCTTGTGAGGGAGTGCAGGTTTCTCGCGATGCGAGGTGCTTGGTGGCTTGGTTTTGGCTGCGCGCTTTGTCTGTTCTTCTGGGCTGCGTATTCTGCGATTCTTTTCTGGAGGTCCCGCTAGAGGTGGGCTCTGCCGTTGTGCGTGTGGGACTTCTTTGATGTAGTTAGTGGGCCTCCCGGCCTGAGCCCCATTCGAGGCCGGCATTTCGCCTTGGGCTCGTTGCCCCCGTGGCACAAGGCGCTGTACAAGGGATCGGCACAATCCATTTAGCGCCAGCGTACGCAATTTTGGGTTGGTTGACAAACAACGTGTTAGCTGTGAAGTGGACAGATTCGGTCAGATTGCGTCCCGTCTCCAACACGGTGGCTTGTTGCTTAAATCCAACCATGTCAAAGATGCCTAGCCATTTGGGTCGAAGAAGCCCATGGTTGCATGTCTGAAGCCATGGCTATTGACAACTTGTTTTCTGGAAGCCCACTCTCTGTGAGTTCCCTTTTCATTGAGAAGCTACGGGGATGGGAATCCAACTTTCGTTCCGCAAGGCCATTTCTATCGCGGCTCAATGATGGCCTTTGGGCTACAGTAAGTGTCTGGGGTTTGGTTACGCAGTTCGCTTTTGGTAGAGGCTACCATTGCCAGCTCCTATGTAATGTAGAGGGCGCACCAGGCCCACCATAGGAACCTTTGATCCATGCCCGCTTTTCCTGCGTGGGCGCAAGGGAAACACTGCATGGAGAAATGAAGTTTCTCGGGCGTCCGTGTTTTCCCAGTTGCGGACTCAATTGGCTGTGGGTCAAAACCAGGGTACCATTTTGGGGTAGGTGCTCCACCCATGTTAGTCTATTTTGGTGGGGATTGGGATGTTCACTGGGGGTACGGGCTTTTGACCCATGGCCAATTGAGAAACTGAAGGATCTGAATTTGACAAGGTGGTGAGTTGGAGGCTCTCAACACAAACTGGCGAACCGCGACTTTGGTTTCTGGGGATTCAAGAGAACGAACCTTAGTTGGTCCACTTCTAGCCATGGTTGTAACCTATTCGGCTGACGTAGTTTGAGCACACCTGTGTAAATATACATACAACGCAATTATATTATATGTGTAGAGGCCCTCTTCGCCAACAAGACATGCTGATTTTTGGGTTTCCACCCCGAAACCACTACCCCACACTTAGAGACTTACACAAACACGTACACACTTACACACTTACGCACTTACACACTTACACACTTACACACTTACACACTTACACACTTACACACTTACACACTTACACACTTACACACTTACACACTTACACACTTACACACTTACACACTTACACACTTACACACTTACACTCTTACACACTTACACGCTTACACACTTACACACTTACACACTTACACACTTACACACTTACCCACTTACACACTTACACACTTACACACTTACACACTTACCCACACACACACACTTACTTACACTCTTACACACTTACACACTTACACGCTTACACACTTACACACTGACACACTTGCACACTTACAAACTTACACACACACACACTCACACAACTACACACACACACACTGAATGTTGAGCCCATATGAATCAACCCCAGTTTATCGAGCTTACACAAACCCCATATTATTACACACACACACACACTTACACAAACACTGACACAAACACTTACACAAACACATAGACTCTTACACAAACACACCTTCTGCCACACACCCCTTACGCACGCATTTACACTTACACTTACACACAGCACTTTTTGGACCACACACACAGAGAAAATCCAAACGCCTGCACTTGCACACACCACCACACCTTTTGGAGCTATCCAAGAGCTGAGGAGCAGCTGGCCTTCGGGTCGCTGCTGCTGCACCGGGACGTCTGGGCCCAGAGCGGCGGCACCGGCAGCTGGGCGGTGGCGCAGCACGCTTGGGGGCTCGGAGAAGGGGGGCTCCGGGGCTGGCGGCTGGGGTGGGGTGTGGAATGTGGTTGAATGAACCAGAGGGGGATTCCCTAAGCAGAAACCGCCAGTTGGATGGTATATAATTCTGATTCCCTGCCTATCGCACCAGCAAGTTGTGGGACATTTCCCACAGCCCTGCCTTTTATGGTTTGTGTACAAAAGGGAAACTAAGGGATCCCCTCCGTTCTTGGAGGGTTTCTTTCCGGTTTTGAGATGCCCGCCCATTTGTTTGGTTACCGATCTCAAACCATCAAGTCGTGCTCTCGCCCAGAAATGCCTTCACAGGCGATTCACAAGCACAAATGCCTCACAGCGCCTGTGCTGAGATTTTCCGGCAATCCTACTCTTAAGCTTTGTTCAATTTATACAAAGCCCACCTTTTCGCCTTTTGGTTTCCCATTGTTAGTCAAGGTTCCAAAAGGTGAGGTGCCATATTTTCCTTCAGTTGGGTGGGTTTCCCTTCAACAATCAACCGTCCAGAAAACGGGCAATCCCTGTTCCAAACATTTCTCGTTCCTTCCACGTCCGCTAAGAGACGCAGCCAGGTTTCAAACCAGGTCCTTTGGAGAGGGTGGATAAACCCTCGTTGATTAAGGGATGCGATAGGCAAAATCACGATGGTCCACTTTGGTATCAGAGCAGGATTTTTTCTCCAGGGTCTAGATAGTTACTAGCAGTATTTCTCCATTTCCTGGCGTTTGGTTTGGTATCTCGCAGTCCCGAAGGTATTTGGCCACTTATATATTATTCCGACAACCAGGAACAAAAGGACACCTCAACATGTGATTTTCTTGCTAGTCAGGGAAGAGGTGGATGGCCCCCAGAAACCCCATCCAGGTGGTTTCCTTCAAGAAGACCCCCCAAAACGGTTCATGCCAAACTCCATCCAACTGGTGGTTTCCTTTCAGCCCCCCCCCCCCGGTTGACTCAAGCAACACCCGGACTCACCCAGGCGTTTTGGTTCCGGCCTTCGGCTCGTGGCTTCGTGGCCCAGGAGCGGCTGCCCCACAAGAACGTGAGGCTCTGCGGCCAGGACTCGGTGCGCGGCACCTTCAACCAGCGCCTTGGATCTGTCTGAAAGGCGGCGGGCACCGTGGGCAGAGTCCTCCTAGTTGGTTTCTCCCAGTGCCCGTGTTTTTCTTCTTTTTTGTTGGGCCACGGAATTTTCGAGTTTGAAGAAAACCGCTGGTTTCTTGGGGTACTGATGGAAAAAGCAGCACCTGGGATGGCGAAATCACAGCAATATCTTCTATCATCACCTACCAATTGGTGCGAACTTTGTCCATCAGTATCAGGGTTCCCTGTGGAGTCCTGCCAGGTTCAGCACCCCGTTGCTGGGCGGAACATGAATCCACCAAGTCGATCAATGCGTCGACAAAAGGTCCGGTGGCAATGGGCATGGGGCGCAGGCCTCAAAAGATGGCCTGGGCCTCCGGCGATCGGAAGATGAAGAGATCACCCAGGAGCCTTTGGGGATTCCTGATGTCCGGTTTGTGTCATTAAGCAACAATCGCGCTAACAGGCACGGCCTTTCTCGAGCAAGGAAGAAGGTTGGCGAGTTATAGCTTCCCTTCCCTGGAACCTCTGCCAAATCAACAGGAACACTTACAGTTATGTCCTCAAGCACCAGAATTGGCAGGCGGACTAACCCCTTGAGCTCTCGGATGTCACACCGTTGGAGAACAAAACCATGCCCTGTAAATCTGATCGGCGTTCCGCCGCCATAGCTGGTAAGGATTCTTGCCTTGAGTTTTACATGATGCGCGTTTGGTCTCCAATACTCGAGTCAATGGACCATATATGAGTGTGGCTGAATTTTTTAACAGAAGGGGTTACGCAGGTTTTGGTCCATGTTTCTACTTACCAGGGTTCCATTTTGGTGGCCGTTTTTTGGTGCCACAGCCATATATATATATATATCTCCTTTTCGGGACCTTTCTACATGTAAAACACGCGGTGTTCGGTTTTCTCCGTCCGTGTCTCGCGACGAGGCGGCACCTGGTGATCCATGACGTGAATGGCATGGAGGTGCAGCTCTTGCAGGACCTGGCGCCAGGCGTGTGGGTTGGGTGGGCATTGGGGGGGCGGGGGAGGGGTGAGGGGGGTTGACGAGGGAGGTGGGGGGTTGAGGGGGTTCAAGGGGGGGCGGGGGGTTGGAGGGGTTTAGGCATGGGGGATAGGGGGCGGGGCTTTTGAAACGAAAGCCTTCGATGAGGAAAGAGATTGGCGGTCTAAAGACATAACATCCGCTCAAGGGAAACCACATGGCGAGCGCGGTTAGTAGACATTTTGGTTCAACAGGCTTTTCAGGAATGAGCGGGTACGGCGGGGAGGGGCTGGAACTTCCGGCTGGGTTGCGCATAATTTCTTTGAACAAGCGGGCCCTGGTCACATTCCAAGGGACACCTCCTTGGAGGCCATTATGCTTAAACTGACGGGTTGGCCCGACCTGGAAAACAGCTTGGCAGATTAGGCTAACGTCCCCCTTGCAAAAAGGAGGGCGGGCTCCGTTTGCCTCCACGGGCTCCGGGGGTTCGTTTTGGGAGCCTGGTACTTGATCGCCAGCTCCACACCAGTGCCCCACTCCATGCTTGGTGCTCAGGGAATGAGGGCATGATCCTTGTGGTTTCCTAGGGGAGCCCCTTCCAGTCCATTCACAAAACTCCAGTTGATTCCCTATTGACGCAATGTTAGGCATCGGGGCGGTCGAGGCATAGAGTTGGCTTAAGGTACAATCAAGCCAAAGGCTTTGGCTTAGTTCTTTTTTGTTTTCTATGTATTAATATATATATACACAAACTACAATAAAGCACTTGTTTAGTTTTGCAGTTTTTCCAACAGCCAATGCTAGTGAAGAGATTGGGGTTTGGCAGACGCTAACCTTGCTGATTCAAGTGAGCTCAGGGCAAAACGAGCTGGGGCCCCGAAGCTTATGTGGCGCGACCAAACACACAATCTGACTTGCGAGTAGTGTTTCTGTGGGGAGCCTTTGGTTTTAAGCTCGGGAACTCTCTTGTGCTTCAGGGAGCAAAATCGTTTGTTGGACGGTTGCTGCCGCCACGCGCCGCTGCTTGAACATTTTTTTTGTTTTTTTGTTTTTTTTTTTTTTTTTGGGGGGGGGGTAGTGACTTTTGAAATGCTGGATTGAAGATCGTTCAGAAAAGGTTATCCAAATACGATGGTATACTTCCAATACACAGATAGCCTTTGCTCGTGGGCTCATTCGTCTTGGTCGCATGCCGCTCACATTAGGATTTCGATCCATTTGGGAACGCAAATTTGATCAAATTTCCCACACAAAACCAGTAGGCCCTCGCAATTGTCCAATGTCCTTGGGGAAGCAAGTAATTCCGAGCGTTGTGTGAAGAGTTCTTGGAGCCGCCAGGGCATCAAGCAAAGTTCTATGCCTTCAATAGCACCCTGTGGCTTGGCCTAGTTAGGTTGGTTTATCTTCAGATAGAACAACCCCCAAATGGTTGGCGCCTTCTTTGGTCGCCCTTTAAAACCAATCAAAATGTGTAGTGCCCTCAAAAGAAACACACCCATGTATGATTTTTTGCCTGAACCTGGCAATGGCCTCTTTGGTCTTACCGCGACCTTTTGGCTGGCTCCATGTTGGTTCGGAGGGTGCATAAGAACCCCATAGCCATGTTTGAGACCGTCTGTCTGTTTTCCACCTGTTCTCTCGAAGTGAAGCATGGCGCGGCAAACTTTTAGCACCCTCCTAATGGTTGGGACTGTCGAACGACATACTGCACCAGTTGTGGATGCAATCCTATGAAATCTGGGATTTGTCTGCCAACTGCAGGAGTTTGTTGATCCATAGTACCACCCCCCTTGGCAACCATAATTTCCGTGGTCTCCCGAACTAGATTCATGCATGCCCATAGGGGTATTTGCTCTCGGCTCGGTAGATATTCCAGTGTGGGGAGAGACATTGGTGGACTTTCTAAGTGCCAAACACGCAGAGCACTGTCTAGTTTCTCGTGTCCTTTAGCGCCCTTTAGCCTATAGCGCAGCATATTTGATGACTTGCTCAAGAAGTATCTGCCATTTCTCTTGGCACATGGTTGGGTATTAGCTGTACAGCCACTATGGGGGGGGGGGCGGGTGAAACAAACCCAATTGAGGTCCCGACAAGATACCCAACAATCTGGGACGGTAGTCTGCATCTGGCGCCCCACATAAGGTTTAGGTAGCCATCCGCGATGAACCCGCAGGGGGTTCTATGGAGGAATGGGGGGGGGAGAATTTGGTTTAGAAGCCTCCAGCCCCTTGTTTCGTTAGAAAACCCGAAAAGAGGTTGTAGCAGCAGTGTGTTCAAGGTAAAGGGTTCGGTTTTTCCCACCTCGCATGGTTTTTCCTTGCCTTGGCGAACCGGCTGAGTTTTAGGTCCGAAGCGGCGGCGCTGGGCTTTGAGTACGGCTACAGCCTGGGGGATGATGATGCCCTGGTGTGCTGGGAGGCGAAACAGGTTGCTGGGTTGGGCTCAAATCAAAATCAAGGCTTGCAGTGGTGTTTCATGGATTACGGGTTACGGATTGCTTCTTTTGGAAGAGCCCAGCTTGGTTCCACCTTTGCCCTTCTTACGGGCATGGAACCTGACCTTTTTGGCTACAGTTTTCCTCTGAAGAGATCCTTGTGGGTTCGAGTTTTAGTTGGTGGGAGTGTTTCCCCACTAAATAGCAAAGCTCAGCTTTTTCTAGGGGGTCAAGAACAACCAAGAACACCCCAGCAGTGCCGAAGCGGCGATTGGTCGTAGGTTTGTGGCTTCGGGTGGGGGAGTGTTGCCTGATATTGGTTGGTTGGTTAGTTGCATGGTATGTGGGCTGCCTCACCATCGTCGTCCTTGCAACTATTGTTCTTGTTTTGTTTGCCTTCTTATTCTTGTTCTTGTTGTTGCTGCTGCTGCTGTTAGGTGCGGGGTTGAGACCGTTCTGTTTTGCGACATTTGTGTAGGGGCTGTTTCTTGAAACAGCTCCACCTTCATGAAGCAAGCTTCACGTCTTTGTTGCGAGTCTGGACATGAGCAAGAGGATCACTTCAGCATATCAGCTGCATCGTATCATCGTACTGTTCCGGAGGCAAAGGACAGCGGGAACCCGGCATCTGGGTCACATCTGCGCAAACAGAATCAGAAGAGAAGCACCGAGCAAGCCTCCCCCAAAATCATGAACATCAAATGGCTCTGGCCCCGGGCTTAGGGTTTAGGGCGACATTTGGGCCATGTGAACCTGTTGCATTCAGCGACTTCCTTGTACTTCGCAGTCAGCAGGGTATCGGGTTCTTCAACCCAAAAGCTGGGGCCGGGGTAAAAGTTCTCGCAGGCGCAGTTCGGGGACTTTGCCAATATGGCTCAGGCACGAGTCATGGGCCCGTTCGAGACGTGGCTCTCAACCAGCAGGGTTGGTTGTGTCCAAGGAGGTTTGGACAAGAGTGGTTGAATCCATGGTTTAAGCAGGGGATTGGCGACTGTAACAGTCGCCCACTAGACATGTTGAATCTCAAAACGTGGAATGTCGAAAGCAGAGTCCAGGTTCTTTCCTATCGGCTCTGTGAACAAACACTGAAAGAAGGGGTACCCTAAGAGAGAGAGAGAGAGAGAGAGAGTTGACCACCCCCTGTTGGATGGTTTCAACGGCAGCTGTTGGGAGAGGGACATACTGAAGTATACTCTAGCAACTTAACCTTTCGAGATTTGAGCAAACGACAAGTTGGTTATTTGGATGCGACCTCATGCATGAATGTTTCTTCCATAAGGTTCCCTTTTTCGAGGTGGTGTATTATGATTCACCCAGATTTGGCATGATGAAACGACACGCCTACCTGGACCCAGTAGTGGGTTTTAGACGAGCATCATACAAATATTAGTCCTTTCGGCCGCGAAGAGACGGTGAAGGACTCGCGATGTTTGCGCCTACTGAAGCATCACGCAGGGTTGCCGCAGTTGAGTTGAGCTGGTTGACCAAGATGTTAAGCACACTTGAAGAGCACTCACAGCCTGCAGCCAGGGTAGCTGCACCAGCCAGTGTTGCTGAGACAAATGATGGCCACGCAGCATGTTGGGGTTGGCGGGCTCGGCCAACGCAAAACGCCAACGCACGCCAGCACCTATATATAATTATATATATATATATATATCATTATATATCTATATATTTATGTGTATGTATTACATTTATAGATGTTCTTATCTTCTGCGTGGCGTAGTGCACCCCACATGAGTTTCCGCGTGGAGTAGCTTGGAGGCCGTGATCGACGAGTTCATCGTCTCCGGCGCGGCTCAGCTGAAGAAATCGCATCAGGGGCCTCGCGATGCTAAAGGCTTTGTGAGGATGTCGCTGTGGACCTATCAGCCTCTTTCCGGGCTGTTTTGTGGGCAGGGTTGCTCTGGTTTAATCAAGATGATCAAACCACATGGGATCATAGAGTGAAAGTAGATGGCACCTTTCCCCATTTGGGTTTAGTCATCCCTGTACTTTCATAGCCACACAAAGAGGATTGTCCTGTCTAGTTTCACCCTAGTGTAATTCAGTGGGTCCGTTTCTAGGGCTTGTGGAGCAGAGAAGGGACGTCTCAGACTGAGGGTTACAGGTTTAGTGACTCACGCGCGAACTTGCGACTCAGATGTTGGGGTATGTTGGGAAAGCACATATTTCCCCATCGATGCTTTTAGACATCACCGCTTGGGCCGCTGAAAAAGCAAGTTGCCCTGTGGGACGATGCTTAGGAGGGGCATGTAGGAGCCCCTGCAAGAAGTGCTCGGATGTTGGAAAACCAGGCACTCGTTTGCCTGCTCACTCAAACGTCAAAGAGTTCCCGGAAATAGCCTCAGAAAACATGGGACCTCCTCTATTAATGTAGAAACCCTCCTGGAGAAGTCCCACTGTTTTCTAAGTAAGAAGGGAAATCGCTCAAAAGGCAACACGTGCCCAAGGAGGAGAAGTGGGGCCAACCAACGCGGCTGACGCTGCTGCTCGACTGCACCTGAACGTGTTCGGAAGTGGCTGGGAGCGCCGCGTTCGGGTTGATGGGGGAGTTCGGATACATTTCGACGTGTCTGTTTTTCCCAAGGGAAACCCAAACGAAGCCACCCATTTGGGGGGTCCCTATTTTGATACAAACTTTGGGTCGGTTCAAAAGTCACTTTTTACCAGTTGGATTACAGGATCCCCCTGCGAAGCAGGTGATTTCCGGATGTATATACCCTTTAAGCAGCCCCACGCCAGCAAAAGGCTTGCCGGTTGGACCTGATCTTTCTTTTTTCCGGCTCTTTAGCGGCTTCTTAGCTCACGCTGCTTCGCTCACTTCTCCGAAGCGAATCGACCTGTCGGTTTGCCAGTCATGGTCCATGAGTCAAAGCTTCTCAGTCACACCCTCACACTTTTGGACTGTTAAAGAGTTGGCCAAATTAGGTGCCCAAAATGGAACCCTGGTGGCTTAACCCCTGGTGGCTTAATTTGGACCCAAACCCAGTTAGAAAAGTCGAGCAAAAGCAAAACAACTGTTAACAAGGCATCACCGAACCACCATGTTTGACTTCCAGATCCTTTGGGCAGGTGAGTTCGCGTTGAGAACCCACACGAGCGCTTGAATTTATTCAGGCCTGTGAGTCGTGTTGCACGGACAAGATGAATGGCCAGGAAATGTTGTTTGTTCAATCGAGGGTGCCTTTGATTTAATGGGGCAGCGACAAGGACAACCCGTGTTGTTTCTTCCCCTATGTTGATGCGCACGCAAATTGCAACGATGACGTCCAAGTAATCCGAGTTGTTCGTTATTCTATATTTGTGCGATTTCTTTGGATTTACACACGGCATTGCCAAGCTAGTCGACAGCAAGCCAGCGAGTGAATTGGCCAATGATTGTTGGTGAATCGATCATAGAAACCAGCTGCAGGAGTTTCTGCAGAAAATGAGCCACGCCTACCAAAACCTGTCCGTCCTTTGAATTTACACATAGACGACCAGCTTCACTTTCTGGCGTGCGCGACTAGCTCTGGTCATTTGGGGAAGCGAGAGTTGTGAATACCAGTTAGTTCTCTCTCGAGCTTGCTCGGCGAGTTGCCTAGCTGGAAAGTGAGAATCATGGAAATCCCAAAGGCAGGCAGCTAGTCAAAGTTCAAAAAAAAAAACGCACTCATTCGCTCACTGCTTGCTCGGTTGGTCGCCTAGCTGTGAGGTGCGAATCGCGCAATCCGAGAGTGCGCCGCTGACGTGAATTCCCCAATAAAGCTCGACTTTGCTCCCGTGCACTCAGAAACAAAGCCACCTGGACTCTATATGTGCCATGTTCACAAGACTGCTTACTGGTCATCCACCTTGTAGGGATTTCAGACAACCATTGTCAGAAGTTACTAATGGAACCATGACCATAGCGCATACGTTGGGAGTCTTGACCATGGGGCGTGTTTGTACATTGCTCAGGTTCCTTGGGTTCATAAGACGTAGCACCTGTCATTTGTTTGGAACTGGGCGGTTCATTCAATCATAGGGGCTGGGGGGGGGGCTCCCTCCCTCCCCCCCAGCCCCCATGATTCAAGCCATGTTGGCGAAGAGGTTGCCCCAGTGCCTTCCTTTTTTTCAGGTCCCCGATGAATATCTCATGGACCATGCCGAAGGGCTGAACGCGGCGATGTGGCAGGTTTCGGATATGGCGGGGCAGCCTCGAACCAAAAGGTGGCTTCTGGATTCTAGATGCTTGCTACAAAGGAGCATGACATTACATGACCATGGTATGGCAAATAGACAGTCTCTCGGAGGTAAGTAGCATGTTTTGTTTCTTCATTTTTTTTTAAAAAAAAATCCCCTGCAGGGAACCCAAAGAAGATGGCTCCTTTGAGAGGGCTGCGACGCTAGGCTGCTCCCCCACGGCTACGACGGCCAAGGGCCCAACCACAGCAGCGCGCGGCTGGAGAGGTTCTTGCGGCTCGGATCGCAAGAGCAAATCGACCGCACATCAAGGGGTTCTCTGGTAAATGGGTGCCAATCGCTTGCACCCCAGGTCAATCCTGTGTTTTTTTCCGCATTTGAAAGCATTCCCTTTGTTAGAACCCCATTTCGGGTCGTTTTTGCTCATCTGGTCCAATCCTCTGCAGGAAAAACAACATGATGGTGTTTGAACAATGGTTGGAGCACGTTTGACGGGCTTGACCCATGGTATGAACCCATTGTTGCTCAACTGCTTTCCAGAAATGGCCCCAGAAAATCTCAACCTCAGGTCTTTGGTTTCAACGAAGTGATCAGTGGTGACTGACTGGAAGCGAACCGAGGCAGCTCACCAACGATGACCCGAACCACCTACCTGGAAACTCCCCGGAGGAGCATTCTGGGATGAATCCGATATGTGGTTCCTGTGGTGCCAAAACGGGACCCAGTCGCCATAGCCTGGCATTTTGCTTGGACCAAGAAGCAGATTCTTCCAAAATCAACCCTTAGATTTACAGGATTCTTGGGTAGGGATATAGCTACCTGCAAGCCTCGCGGGTAAATTGACTGGCATCCTATATGAAGGTTCCTCTCAGAACCCCCCGATTTGTCAGAGGGTGAATTGTTATGATTTGCCCACACAGCATGTACATTTGGATGATTTATGACTGATATGTGTTGGTGTCAAAGGTCGGGTACATAGTCGTGTTGTTCTAAACAATTCTCGGGGAAGGGGTGGAAAACATGACTTTGCCCCCACAGGAAGCAACCCGTAGCTATGTTTGATCTTCAGAATTTAGGTTCCACCTGACGTTTTACGCTGCCATGGGTTTTTGCTTGGATTTTAGGATACCCCCTTTCGATTTTTGTTCGGTGTCTTCCCAAGCTCTGTGGTTCAGAGCAAGGGCGAGTTCCTGCAGGTTGGGGGGTCTACACGTCCATACGTCCTGCAAGCCAAAACTGCTCGTAAACTAAGCAAACTTCGCAAGACAGGAATATACATGGGTTCATAGATCAAGCCTTTAAAAGAACCCACTTCCCCGGATTCTTTTCGGGCGCCTTCTTCACCTTGTTTAAAAGGGAGTCATTTAGACTTCGCTCCGGGCGAGGACCTTCGAGAGATCGACAAAGCCTTCGATATTCTGGACACCGGGGAGGGGATCCTCAAGGAGCGATGGGACACGCGAAAGCCTCCAGGGCCTGCAAACAGAGGGCGGGGGCTTGGAAAAGGCTCAACATGTCAATGTAAAGCACTCGTTTTTCTGGTGAGTACGCCAAAGTCCAAATTTTGGCAAGTTCCTGAGCCGTGCCAAACGGATCAACCGCCAGCAGTTTTCCCTTTACCCGAAGCTCATTGCTCGCCGATCGGCCCGCAAGCTGCTAAGCTCTCAGAGCCGAAGCTTTCAGGCCACAGGGAAAGCCATGGCCAGACACCCAAACATGTGGCTATGAGTCCAAATTAAGCCACCAGGACATGGACCGCAGGTTTTCTTTTCCATTTGAACCCAGGGTTCTGCTTTTTTTTAACCACTACCCATGTGACCTAAGGACATGGCCCAAAACAGACTTTCGCCACTTGGGATCCAGAAGCATACCCCACCATTGCACAAGGCTCTACCGATTTCACTTTCATGGATCTGATGTGTGCGCATGAAGCTGAAAGGCACTGCGCTGAAGTCCAGGTAGCGTGCAATACAAAGCTCACCTTGAATTGCCTGAAGGTAGCCCCTTTGACCTGCTTGGGGCTCGATGGTTTGGCGCTCGCCGAGCACTGACACTAACGTTTTCTTTGTCAGCAAAGCGAGCAGCTGGCGTTTGTCTTAAGCCCTCAAACCTCAAATTTGAAGCCGCGGGTCTCAACCGTGATATGATTTTGCCTTCTTGAAAACCATTTCTAGATGGTTTCCTTTCTGATTCGGCAATTCCAATTAGAATGCAATCAAGTTTTTCTTTTTATCCCAGTTCGCTCACTCCGGATTCCGCCAGACTTGCCCCGCTAGAACAACCTCGCCGAGGATCTCTTTCTCCCAGATACCCAATGGTGTGCTTTTTTTTGGAGGTGGCTTGCCTTCACGCGATTTTTCTCCCGCTGGAGGTTATGGTTATGCTCTTTGGGCCATCTCAGCAACGCTTCAGGAGGAGCAGGTGAAGAGCTATCTGCAGCCCGCCTCAGACTTCGAACTGGCGACTTGACCCTTTTTCTTGTTTGTTGCGCTGAGCTTGTTGCTGTATTTTTTGGGTTTCGGGCTCGCCCATCTCTGTCAAGTTGGATGGGAGTTGTTTGCAGAACACTCCAAAGCCCAAAGCCTTTGCGGTGTCTCATGACCCCAATTTTTATCGAACCTCAAGCCACCACCCGGGGGGAAAAAAAACTGCCCCCCCCCCCAACTCACTCGCCCTATAAACCCCCCTAAACCACCCAGCCTCAAGTTATCACCCCCCCCCCCCTCCAAAAGAACGCCCCCAACTAGCCCAAAAAGAAAAACAGCCTACTCCACACCCCTGGTCCAAGATTAAGAAAAACAAAAAAACCTAAGCCACACCCGCCACAGCCCTGGTCCCACCGAGGAGTGGGAGCTGTGGCTGAAGACGGCGCAGAGCGCCCTGGGCCGCCCAGCGCGTGGCCTGGCCGCCGGCGTCACGCGCCAGGAGTGGCGCCAGGTGATGCAGCAGCTCTACCGCCGCAACGCGGAGCCCCTCGGCTCCAGGTGGCAGACGGCAGACGCGGGTGGATGCCGGGGCGCCGGGTTTTTGGGGGGGTTGGTCCGTCGTGGGGTGCGGCTTTTTTGTTTTTTGAATGTGTCTTGCTTTATTGATTGAGGTATGTTCGTAAAACTTGTTTTTCGGGGTTGGTACCCTCCCCCCACGAACATTTTGGTGACCCTGAATTGAGGGTTTGGATTGGTGGCTTGGGGATTAGAAGCCCTGGTTCTTGCAGAGGGGCAAGGGAAACACCAACCACCAAACCACCAATCCAAACCACCAATTGGGGGGAAGCTAGAATACGGCACCTGTGGCAGTGTACCTAAAAGATCGGTTTCCTCATGGAGGGACCCCCTGTCAGCTGCCATGTTCGTGCGAGGGAGGGTAGGCTTTTTGGGGTTGGAGGAAAAGGGAAACCAACGCGGGAAACCACACATGTTTGAGGGTTTCCCCATTTAGAGACAAACCCCAGGGGTTCTTGTCGCAAAATACGGGACCCCTCAAAATGGCTTTCTCTCTGGTTTTCTTTAAGACGCCCCAAGAAGGGCGCCCTCAAAACAAGACACGCCCATATGGAACAGTGAAAGACATGGGTATTGTCAAGATAGGGACTTTGGACCCCAAAATGGCACTTGTCCTGTTGATTCGCTTGAAGGCAAGGTGAAAAGGGCACCCTCAGAACGCACGCACGGGCCAATGCTTCCATGGCCAAGGCTTTTCATGGGTCTTTCAGATTCTTTACTCTTGGGCCAAAGGGTCAACCCCAAACGCGGGGTTGCAACCCAATTAATTCAAGGCACTTTTTCTGTTGGGCTGGGTGCGTGTTTTGTCCCAAAAGGGTGGTCGCGTTCCTGCTAGTTGCCTTTTGGTGTCCCAAGCCCATCCCAAAAACGGGGTCCGTAGCGGGGGGGGTTGTGGGCCCAATCACAGGACACCTGGCACCAGGCTTTCCATTCGAACATTTCCTTTTGTGCCTCCGTATGTGTTGTTTCTTTTCGTCCCTTGCTTTCTTTCAACATCCAAGAAAAGGGTGCCTGGTTGTGGTCGTCCCGTTGAAGAAATATGTACAAGTACATGTACACGTAGATGTATATGTATAGTTATATGTATGTGTTGGTCGATGTGCGTGTGTGAGTGTAGGCGTGTAAATATGCGCATGTGTATGTGTATGTGTATGTGGGCATGTGCATGTACGTGTGCACGTGCACATATATATATATATATACAATATATATATATATATATATAGATATATGGACATGTACATGTACATGCATACGCGTGCGTATGTGTATATGTCTATGGTATTGTCTATGTGTACGTATAGGTATGAAATGTAATGCAGTGCAGCGTAGTGTAGTGTAATTTTAATGCAAGGTAATGTGATGCAAGTTAGTATTGTAGTTTATGTACACATATTTATTTGCGTGCGTATACTTAGGTGCGTGTGGGTGTATGTGTAGTTGTATCCATATATATATATATGTGTGCATACATGTGTATGTGTACGTATATGTATGTGTATGGCGGGATGTGTCCGGAGCTGTCCCGGGGATATCAACTGCCGTATTTGTGCATTGTTTGTTTGTTTGTATTTTTGTTTGATTGTTTGTTTGTTTGATTGATTGTTTGTTTGTTTGTTTGTTTGTTTGTTTGTTTTGGTTGTGATTCGAGTTGTTTTACAATTTTAAGCAGCTTTAAGCATTTTTTTGTTCAACTAATGCTACTTTTTTTCCTGAAATTGTTGCGCGCCTATGTGCATGTATGTGTATGTATGTGTATGTATGTGTATGTATGTGTATGTATGTGTATGTATGTGTATGTATGTGTATGTATGTGTATGTATGTATGTATGTATGTGTATGTATGTGTATGTATGTGTATGTATGTGTATGTATGTGTATGTATGTGTATGTATGTGTATGTATGTGTATGTATGTGTATGTATGTGTATGTATGTGTATGTATGTGTATGTATGTGTATGTATGTGTATGTATGTGTGTGTGTATGTATGTGTATGTATGTGTATGTATGTGTATGTATGTGTATGTATGTGTGTGTGTATGTATGTGTATGTATGTGTATGTATGTAAGTGAATGTATACGTATGTGTATGTGTGCACGTACATGTATGTACATGTATGTATGTGTATGTATATGTAATGGCATATGTGTATGTGTATGTCTATTTCTTTGTGGATGTCTTTGTGTGTGTGTGTAAATGTATACGCATGTCTTTGCGTATGCGCATGCGTATACACATGACATATCAAGAATCCTGTTTTGGACAACCTTCCCATGGCTTCCGTATGGCTCTGAATCGTATCATGATTGTGGAATATTCTTGGTTTTAGGGCCGACCCCCTTCTGTAGTGGCCATTTAACGCGGTGGAACAGGAATCAGGGACTATACCGCAGAAAGGCGATTTTGCACACCCAGCCACTGGCATTTGGGGCCCTTTGCTTGTGAAAGGTCTCACGCAGCCTGTTTGCGCCTTGAGCTTTTGGCTCTTCAAAGCAGCACAGATAACACACTGGGCAGGGCTCCGCCAGCTCCGATGCAAGTGAGACAAAGGCGCTTCTGAGCAAAAGAGACAACTAGGTCCCCCAGCTAGGTGCCCTTTCTCACCCTTTTGTTCGGGGAAGGTTCCCCTACTAAAATAGACCACAGAAAAAAGTTGGTACCCTTATTCCAACCTCTCTACTGGAGGACCTAGACAAAGCTCTGAGGAAGGATGCCAACATCTTCGTGCTGAATGTCACCACTCCGGCGCAGTATTTCCACGTGCTGCGGAGACAGGCGCTTGGGCGTGCCAGCATGATACTGTGGATGGACAAAATCCACTTCGCACCACCTAAGAAACCAGGACAAACTGACAAACCATTGTTTGTTGGTATTTACAGGGGAATAATCATTTTTAGGTTTCTTTAGGTGGTGCGAAATGGATTTCGTCCATCCACAGTATGGGCATGTGTCACAAAAAAGGGGGACAGCCAAAGTGGTAGCTTTGCTTGCGGTTGTGCCTTTGAACCAATTCAAAAACGGGCAATTACCCTACCAAACAGGCACACATGTGACAGTTGTGCTTGGTTGACCCTAAAAGACACACGTATGCTGGTTGCGGCCTTTTCCCTTGCCCCTCATGTTCCTTTCTGTTGGGCCGCTGAAATACTTGAACAAACAAACATAAATTTTATGATTGGGTGTTTGTTGGGGTGTTTGACGAGAACAAGGGACCTGGACAACACCTGTCAAAGCACCACCCTTGGATCCATTTTAACGGGACACACCAAGTGGACAACAGCAAAACAAGTGAAACCCTTTGCATCTGGGGATGGTCACCCTCTGATCCGCTGGCTCCAGTGGGCCTTTGGGGACCGAGTTCCTGGGGAGACCAGCCGTGGCGCAAGCGCCGGATCCGCATGTTAGCTGGCCATGCCCGTACCCCCAGTGAACATCCCAATCCCCACTAAAATAGACTAAAATGGGTGGTGCACCTACCCCAAAATGGTGCCATTGGTTTTGACCCACAGCCAGCTGACGAGGCGCACCGGCCCTTCAAGAAGCCTCTGGTGCTGATGACCCCCAAGTACCTGCTGCACCACTCCAAGGCATCGATCGAGTTCGCGATCAAATTGCACGCTTGCCACTCCAAGCTTTCGGTGCAGGTGAGACAACATTTCAATGCACGTTTGTTCCTTCTTCCGTTTTTTTTTTTTGCCTTAACATAAAAAGAACACAATCGACAGAACAAGCAGCATCGAAACTTGGTTTTTTTCAAGCAACACACCACGCGCGCTGCTTCGCCGGGAGGCCACCAGCGCCTTCGAGGATTTCAGCGAGCAGAACTTCTTCATGCGGGCGGGGAGCGGGAGTTTCGGGGGGGTCCGGTTGATGCGAAGGGGCGGGCGGGGGGTGGGGTGGGGGTGGGTGGGTGGGGTGGGGGTGTGTGGGTGGGGTGGGGGTGTGTGGGTGGAGTTTCCAGAGTATGTGCCTCAAAGTTGTTGTTTCTTTGTTTCTTTGGCGGTTCCATCAGGTAGGAGATGTCGGAGGGATCAATGCTTTGAACAGGCGCTTGCTCCATCACAGCTTCCTCAAAATCGCGTCGGGTAGAAGGTTTGTGGTTGGGATTTCCGTGCGAGTTAGCTTTCCCCTTTTCGTTCGAACCCCTTTCCAGGTTTTGACTATGTTTGTTTGAAATAATCTAGCTTACTTGCCCTCATGAAGGGAATTGAACGCTCTGCCTTTATCCATCAAACTGTATATTGACACCTTTTCCGTGACTTGTTTTCTTTGCATTCTTGGTTCGCTATTCGAAGCAGCGTGTATTTTTTAGCCTCATGGAACGACAGGGGCCCCAGATTTTACTCGTGGGGTGTTTGTTGGACATCTACGGCGCCCTGAAGTTGTTCCGTCGCCAGCTTTTTGGTCGTGTGGGTCCATGGCAACTTCTTCGCTGGTTCTTCAAATGCCAAACCGGTCCGCCAGCATGCCGACGCAATTCGTGCCAAACTTGCCCCAGAATTCGGCGGAGACGGACGTCCGGAGTCGGACTTTGATGCTGTTGGGCTTGGAACATATCACTGGTCAACCGAAGGGCTTGTTGCCCACCCGACAGGTTTGTGAGATCCGACCACAACCAGCCTGTGACAGACAGATGTGTCAGACAGATGTGACAGACAGCTGTGACAGAGCCTGTGACAGACAGATGTGACAGCCTAAGATTACTCCTGGCGCGTATTTGCGTCTCTAGAGGGAGCGCGCTTCTCACAGGAAAAAGCGTGCAGTCGACGCAGAGCCGAGTCGGGATGAGGAAATGTGACTCCTTAGATCTCTTTTGGTTTTGGCAACCTGGGACCCGCGCGTTCAGCTGATTTTCATCTGCGACCCCATGTAGCTGGAGCTTGGGGCTACAGATGATATGATATGTCCTTGCAAGAGCTGGTCCCCGTCGCATCAGCCAGCAGCACGCTTGAGGCCGCGATTGGCTTTTTTGTGCCTGCGTGGCTGCAGCCCAGCTTAGCCAAGCAAAATCCTTAGGTGGAGATTGCACGCAGTACAGAAATTTGTTGTCATTTGTTTTGGTCCGGCGAGCCCAATTGAGTTTTGACCTTTGCGTTGTCCAGTGTTGGTCCATGTTCATCAAAGCCCATCTTCAGGTGATCGTGGACTACAGCCCCTTGCTCACGGAGCTGGCTAGTCGCAGCGACAACACGAGGAGCGCAACGCGATGCCGAGCAGTTATATTCGTACGTGTGTCAAAATGTGTCTGTATTCTATAGATTTGTGTTATTTATATAGGTGCACTTCTAAACAACCCGGAAGCCCTCAGTCTCTTTGGACAGGCATTTGAGCACCAGCAAGACCGGCGCTCCGTTGACTCTCCCCTTGGAGAGCGTGCGGCGCGTGATCCTTTGCAGCGGCCAGATCTACTACAAGCTCTCGCCGCTGGGTCTTTTACTTGGAGCACCCCACGTCAGATAAGTGCTCAATATCCCTGGTGAATACGTCCGTGGCAAACATGTAGGGTAAAAACCGCGAAATGTGGACATATTGAGCACGTACTGGCACAATGTCCCGCTTGGCAGGCTTCTGCGATAGCCGGCAATCAGAGCCATGCAAGCTCCATGTCACAGATCAGTTTGGGTGCTGGGCTATTTGGGCCTCGCAGACTCGCAGCCCCTTTTGTTGGTTCCTTTGCAGGGTAGCCAACCTGATCCTTGTACCCTTCAAAAGGGGGACTAAAAGGCGTCTGAGTTCTGCGAACGCTGTAGGCCAAGAGGCTTGCTCCGGACATGCAAGAGTAGTTGTGAAAGCGCATTGGCAACGGAGTGTGTGTGTGTGTGTGTGTCTTTTTTTGAGGGCACCTTTGGTGGAAACGAACTCTTCGCGAGTGACCCTATTTTGAGACAAACCCATGTTTAACAGTTAAACAGGGTCGGTCCAAGCCTTCGCATTAGGCACAAGCGCCGGAGCGGGAAGATCAAGGACGTGGTCTTGGTGCGCCTTGAACAGATCTCCCCCTTCCCCTACGATCGCATCATCAAGGCGCTGTCCTACTACCCCAACGCGCCCGGGCAATAACACATGCGAAATTGGTCCGCCCCCAAAAAAGAAGGAAAACAAACAGAAAAAGGACACAGGAATCACAACAGCAACGACGGTTTTGCGATACTCGGCAAAGTACAACTGCTTGTGTGTTTTTCCGCAATAGCACTCAGCCATGGGGTGTTAAACTTGAACAAACTGGAAAGCGTGTGTGTATCCTTGTCTGGGGTCAGTGCCCCGGCGGTGTCCCAGTGGTTTTCCGGTGTCCTGAAAGGTGTCCCGGTGGCTTTGCCCAGAGCCTGTTTGGTGGAGCCTGGTATCAGGGTGTATCGTAAAAAGATTGCGCTGTGGGTAAGTTCGGTAAGACGAAACCATAGATCTTGTCTAAAATGGACACCTCAAGCAGGCCTAACATCCGTGCACAACCAACCCACATTTGGACTTACTGCCTATTGTTACTGGGGTCTATCGCTGCGTTAATTTGAGGCTCGGTGCCCTTGTCTCCTTTGGTTTACAAAGGAGGCAACAGGAACACCACCATTTTTGGGGTCCTCGTAAACCTCATACCCACTACACTCCCGTCCACTACGGAATCTGATTTGATTTGGATTCCCAGCTATTTCTCTCAAGACAAACTCTACTGGGTTCCATGTTGGCGCGCAGGAGGGTTGCTCCAGCACACTTCTTGGCTCTCGATGCCCTCACTGTTCTTGGCATGTTTGTTGGGAGGATTTTTGGATGTCCTAGGTTCTTGTTCATGTTGAGTGGGGCTGCGAAGAGCAAAGCTTGCTGGCATACCAGTTGAAAAGATTTGGGCGCTAGTTTGAGTCTCCTTGAGCCTTCCTCGCCTTGGCAAGGCCATGAGGCCGCAGTTAGGTGTGTTTGGGGGAACAAGCCCGAAGTTCCATGAAGCAGGAGGCTCGACTTTGAGAACCGCCATTTTGCCTTCTATACGCCTCAAGGCTCTGAACAGTAGTGGGAATGGCTTAGCAAGGCCTACCAAGCCATACTTCAGGAGAAACTTACGGGGGCCCCTTACAGGTTGTTTAAAGCTGGCTTTCAAAGCACCAAAGGAACTTTGGACGTTCAAGCTATGTCGAGACTGCAAGTTTGGCACCATTGTCCGACCAGTTGCGTGAGAAAAGCTGGTTGTTGGCCCAAGGGGGCCAGTCGGGCCCTCAAACGTACGATGATGTCCTAAAATCAGGGGCCTTTGCAATTGTTGTCGACAATTGCTTTGGGGTCCAAACCTTTTTTTACAAGTACCCATAACTTGCAATCTACATTAAGAGGATTTGGCAGGCAGGCATCTACTGCTCACATTGGGTTTCATCCACAAGCGGCTGCGTCGTTGTTGATTTCTGATCCGCCTAAGGCTGACGTCGTCTGGTGCCAAGACGCTTGGCTCAGAGCTGAGTGTCTTGAGGGTGACTTCTTCCCTGGGCTTTTAGACACATCCGAAGGGTTTTGAGTAAAGGAGACAGTCTGAGCAGTTTGATGGCAAGATCTCGCGAATCATAGCACCCCATCGGGAGGTTGCGACCTCACCCATGAACGTGTCTTAACTTGTGGACGTGTTTTAATAGTTGTTGCTGATACCAGTAACCAGTTGCAGGATGTTCAACAGCAAGTTCTCCAAATGACAAGGGGTTTGGGCGCTGTTGAACTTTCTGCTAGTGGCCAGATCAGTTTGCTTCACCTTCGCTCTCAAAGCGAGTCTGGCAGTCTGGCATGCGGCGAGGAAGAGCCCAAGAACATGGGAGCGTGGTTCTATGTGCAGCCCAGGTGAGGAGGGATGGGATGTCCGTTGCCGAGAGTTGCAAGGCGACTCTGTTTTTTCACAGGGAATGGCTGAGCTTGAATGTAACCAGCCCTCTTCTGCTATCCAATCGAGCAGTACACGGCTGATTGCCCACAAGTCTGCAAGAGGCCTCCAAGCGGTGGGCCATGGAACAGTTGGGTATGTGTCAAAATAGGGGCACCTGTACGGGGTGGTTTCCTTTCGTTTCCCTTTGAGTCTACCCCAAGAAAGAACCCGCAAAAACACACCCTTGTTGTTGAAGCGTGGGCAGCTAGCCCTTCTCAAGAAGGGCCCCATGATTTCTAGTCTTGGAGTTGCTTGAAACTGAAGTGGTAGAGCTCGAATATGGCAAAAAATAGTACCTACCGTGGGGTTTGGCCGGCTTGGCCCTTTCGCTCTGTGTGTGTGTGTGTGTGCGTGCTCGCCAACTCGACAAAACTGGAAGAGGGAACCGGGCGAAGGGTACAAGTTCCGGAGATCAATCAGCGCAAATGCGGTCTATTACCCCCCACCATGGCAGACCTGTGCTGGTGGAGCTGTGGCAGACCTACTGTTGTGATGCCCTCCCCACTCAGTGGCCAGATGGCTTCGATCAGCATTGTGTCGCTTTGCGACCAGGAGCTGCCCAATGCACAGCTAACAAATGCTTAGTTAATGCATGTTTTTTGAAGCTAAGGCTAAAACCAATGTAGCACGGGTTTGGCACGGGTTTGCTTAGCTTTAGCATAGGCACCATTCTCTCACTCACCTCCAAATTTCAGGTGTGTCTTGTTTCCGAATCCCCCCTGTGGGTTGGTTCAAAGAGAGACCCAAACAAAATTCGAACTCCGATTCTGGGGTCTTTTTTGTGTGTCTTGTGTTTTTGTGAGGGTACCCTTTTTCAAGTGGTAAGGGAATTGAACGGGACACCACCCATTTTCGGGGTTCCCTCATTTTCTTGCTGGTGCTCAGCAGGGAATGAGAAATGGAAGGACCCTTATTTTCCATCCTGGTGGTTTCCTTTAAGGGGACCAAAGCCTGGGTTCATTCGTGCGTTCCCTACCCATCGCACATTCCCACATTCCCACATCTTTTGTGGTTTCCTTTAAGGGGACCCCAAAACGGTTCATTCAACCACATTCCCTACTTCTTGCACCAGCAAGTCTTTGAGGGGAAGTTGGGGGCCCATGGCCCCAGCAGGCCCTGACCAGCTGACCACGAGTAGTCTGGCAGCTGACTGAACTGGGTCAGCATCGAGCTCATTTCAAGACATCTCCCCAAACGCCTGATTTCAAGGCTCGCCACGGCTGGGCGCCGGGACGTGGCCTACGTGGGCCGCCCCGCGGCGGCGGCGCCGGCCACCGGGTCTCAGCAGATCCACGCGGAGGATCCAAGGGACGCCGAAAATCCCCCGCACAAGGGGGTGTCTTGTCTTTAGGGGACCCCCCCGTGTTGTTCTCCGGCTGGGTGCTGCTTAAGGACATGCAACATATGCTTTGGTATGGGTAAGTTAAATACTACATCGATCGTCTGCTGGCAGGCGTTCAGCCATCCCAACGCCAAGAGGGCTCTCCGGGCAATCATGGAGTCGCCAGCGGAGGTGGCACTGATCAACTGCCATGCTGACTGGCACAGAACACCGGCCTTCTGCCTTGTGCTGCACGCGCTGCGGAGTGGCGAGGTGGCTTCAATGTCACTGATGTTCAAAACAAGTAAGTTGTTGATTGCCGTTTTTATGTCTGTCATTGTCGGAGACCTGGAGTACGACATCCGCATGGCAGTGCAGTTTGTATGTGAACAAGACCTTCGACACTGTGCTTCTTGCCCGCAACCAGCCAAGTGTAATAATTTAACGATGTGTTGAGTGTCAGTGTCAAGCCACCCGCCATCTTGGGATTCGTTGGTAGGATTGGGCTGTCCTGTGGTCAGTGAAGAGTATTGGATGGGCTTTCTTGTGATTTGATATCATCTGCCAAACAGCACCCATCGTTGAGTGTTACGGGAGTGAGTCTGTCACTTGTCACTGTCAACCATGATATTTGAGCGTACTGCCAGGTTCACCCTCCGCATCCAGAACCAGTCCCTCTTTGATAAGAACATGGCGGCACAGCAGGGGCAGCAGCAGTGCAAGGCGGGATGCGCCAAAGTCGACGGAGAAGGCGGAGAAGCCGAGCATCAATGTCAATGCCAACGACGAGCAAAAGCCGTTGGAGGAGGCTATCATCAATGACAATGTCAAGAGTGCAGCCACCAAGTCCCAGCAGCATAGCCTACTGGAGGATGAGGTTGAGCCGCCCTGCAGCAATTGGCAGCTGACATTGACGTGACAATGTGACAATGACTGCAATCTAAGTCTTGCGAACTCAACAGTTGTTGGTTGTCGGTTGAACAAGCCAGCCAGCCATCCTGGATGGCAGCTGGAACTAGCCCGGAACGATGAGCGCATCAAGGAGCGGCGAGAAATTGTCATTTCCTTGTCACGAACCATCCCCGAGAATGAAGCTTGTCGAGTTCGAAGACCGGTCCAGCTCTCCGCGAAACATCAACACCAATTCGAGAAGAGATGACCTCGTTAGAGGGCTGAATTGCGTGCAGAAAAATGTTGGCCGCCGGCGCCTCTTAGACATTGACCTATGACAATCTCAGCACGCCAGGACATGCATAAGAACATGAATGCCACTCCCAAACCGCAGTTGCCAAACAATGACAGCCAATGACAATGACGCCCTGACCGGGTTTCCGGCAAGTCCGGAAATTCGGCAACCTGGCAGGCAACATTGTTGCGGGCAGTGATCAAGGCACTTGTGTGGTTTGCGACGTTCCTCCCGCCGGCAGTGTGTGACTGGGCGGCTTTAGAGAGGAAATCTATGCATATTGTCAGTTTCTGTTGCCATGTCGAAGCACTGGTTCTTGAGACGCGTACAGCCCACAAAGGAAAACTGGAAAGCACATGAATGCGAGGCCCAGGGCTGAGCGCAGTTTTTGTTTACAGAAACTGAGGCCTTGAATGTTTTAGGTTGTGACGCAAGGATTGTTTGCAGCAACTATTTGCCACAACAACACACCGCTGTGTTATCGAAAGCAGTTTTTTCCAGCGCAACCAGTAAAGGGCTCTTCAAACGCCCGCAGGTTTAGCATGGTTACAGAATTGAGCCTCGCCCAGCTTGACTTGCTAACAGGAACTACGCTCCTACCTTGACCTTTTTTCATCTTACATAGTCAGTGGTACATAGATAGATTTGTTTGATAGGAGGTTCCTTGTCAAGCTAGCTCAGGCTGTCCTGACAGCTACAAGCTTATAACTCCATGTTGTTCTTCGCTTGTGGCCGTGTAAACCCTAGGGTTAGCAACTCACAAGGGTCATGTTTTGCTTCAACAGGACCTCCTGTCCATGCTTGGCAATGTTCCGCGGAACACGAAAGGGGCTGGTTGTTTTTGGGCCCCCCCAGCTTCCTGCTTATGGCTGATAGGACATTCCCCCCGGATTTTTTGAAGGCCTGCAGGTTTGCGCCCTTGCCCAGCTTGACTTGCTTACCAGGAACTACGCTCCTACCTTGGCCATTTTTCATGCTACAAAATGACAAACGAATAGGTTTGGCCCCCTTGCCGCTACAAGCGCTGCCCCATCACTACATATTAAGAAGTTTATCATGGCTGCCGCTGATGTTTTGAAGGCCTACAGGTTTGAGCCCTCGCCCAGCTTGACTTGCTTACCAGGAACTACGCTCCTACCTTGGCATTTTTCATGCTACAAAATGACAAATAAATAGGTTTGTTTGCTTGGAGGTTCCTTGTCAAGCTGGGCTCAGGCTGTCCTGACAGCTACAAGCTTAGGACACCATGTTGTCCTCGCTTGTGGCCGGAGCACAAACGGGGCTGATTTTTTTGGGGGCCCCTTACGCCGGCCTTGCAGCAAAGCAAAGCAAAGGACGCTCCGCCGTCCTTGCCTGTGACTGTTCAGGAAGTTGTTCCAATCAAAGCCACAAGTTTGTTGTGGTCGAAGGCCGGCCGGTTTGAGACTGACCTGTTGTCATCTTACATAATGGAAGCTGGGCTCAGGCTGTCCTCGCTTGTGGCTGTGTAAAAGGAGAACCTGGAACTTTCAGGTCTTGGTGAAATTCCGTTAAAGCAAACTTTGGCAAATTCAAAAGACTTGCGCTAGTTAAGCCGTGATGCGTTCAGTGAAGTAGAAACGGGACTGACTGTTTGGGGGGCATGTTTCTGGCCTTGCAGCCGCGGTCCTTGCCTGACTTCATCCTGTTACACGCTGGCTGGCTCGAGCATGCGCTGACCGCAACTCCATTTTCATTAGAACGTGCACACATGGCGTGGTGACACCGTTACGGTGATGACGGCCGCCGCCAGGGCCATGGACCAGGACAGCGATGCAGCTGCGCCGCAGGCTGCTGCAGGAGCTGAGAGACCGGCGCTGCAAGCTCACCACCACCACCTGCAGCAGCACCAGCGCCTGCAGCCGCGCAGCAGCCACACCAGCAGCCGCACTGGCCAGCGCACCAGGGCATGCCACAGCAGCTGCCGACGTCTTGGGGGGAGCGAACGCGGCTGGCGGCGGCGGTGCAGCAGTAGCAAGAGCTGCGGCAGGAGCAGCAACAGGTGCAAGCGCAGCGGCAGCAGCTGCGGAAGCAGCAGCGGCGAAGCGCCGCGAGTGGTTCACCAACTTCAGGGCGAAGCAGCAGCGAAAACAGCAGCAAGGGCTAGGCTCAGCAGGGCCAGGAACCGCAGCTGGCGCCTGAGCAGAGCAAGCTAGAGGACCTTATCAAAATCGCCCGCAGCGATGTGGAAAGCATCAGCTGGCTTTTCACGTCCTTGCGAGTACGCGCGGTCTGCAAAGTTGCAAACATGAACAGCTCAGCCCTGAGCGGAGGCAAGTCGAATCCAAAGGGGCGGCCTGGCAAAATATGTGCAGCTCGGCGTCCATGTCAGCTTTGCACTTGTACAGGCTGCGTAGGATAGTTCACCATGTTTGGTTGTGGAAGCGGGAGAATTTGTCGCTGTTGCTGTCAGAGATTGAGATGTACGTGGATCAGGCGGGAGCGAAGAGACCGTCACGGAGCGCCGCAAATCCTGTTGTTGGCTTCTCCTTGTCCGGCCGTGTCCATCAGTGTTTCTGCAATGGTTGTTACAACCACGTTTACTTGCCCTGAAGTGTTAGAAGTAGACCTCGTTAACGTGCTGACTTGCAACGTGACTGACTGGGCAGGGTCAGTCGCGCTCGGCTGCTTCACGACCCACAACTTGGCATTGTCCATAGGAGTCCATGTGCATAGTGGCAAAAATCGTGCTGCGGAGACAGGGTGGCAATGGAACTTGTGGTTCAGTGAATTCGCCGCAGGTTAAGTGTTCTGCCGCCGGGCCTGCCCCAAAGCAGCCATTGAACGCAGCTTTTGTTCTACAAATATTTTCATCGTCGCTCTGTTGTCAGTGTCATCACGGCTCTGGCACGCAATCTTGGTGCATGCGCGGCTGGATGGTATTTCGTTTACTGCTAGCAATTGCGATCACATGCCGAGATGGCAAGAAAAATGTGTGGTCGATAAACTCTTCAAATATTGAATTAATCAGTTCAACAATTTGAACAGCATATCTCGCATACCCTTAAGGAGCGCCCAGCCGGGCCGGGGTCTTTTTGGGACTCTGTAAAAGCAGGAATCACACCTTTTGCCGACCTTGGTTGCCCCGTGTCCGTGCCTCATCCCATCCCGACAATTGAGTGCATCGAGCCATGCGCTAACCCCCTATTCCAGATATAATTTACGAATGATCGGCGGATCCCTTCACTGACAGGGCTTCCTAATTGTGGTTTTGGCTTCCTCTCATCTGCGTCGTTGGATTTGGTAGAGATGGATTCCTGACTTAGTTGCATGTCTTCTGATTCCGAAGTAGCGTCACCAAGTGATTATGTCTTTTTGAAGAATATACATGATCCGTGATTGGCAAAGGGAAGCCAAAAGTCTGGGGACCCTGAACGGTTTTGAGAAAATGGGTTCCAGCTTGCACCAAAGAACAAACATGGGCGTGGCATCCGAAAGAAACCCGTTTGAACCGTCTAGAGTCGTCCAGTAGTACTCTTGGACGACGTCCTGCACGATGGGAAACAATTGGTTGGTATTCGCAAACATCCCCCAGTATCACCAGGTCTTACTGGTGGTCCAGGAAACACCGCGCCCCAAAAGTCGTGTGCGAAGATCTGCAAGTGTTGGCGAACTGGTTATGGTGGTTGTCGAGGATCCAGCAATGGGTGTTTTCTGTGTTTTTTAAACAGAAGCCCCTAAACAGGGTGTTTCTTTTGAATGCCGTCAAAAAGCACGGAACCATACACGCATGGCTTTACCCGGGGGGTGCCAAGCAGGAGACTCGCCTCATTCTGGACGCTGCCTTCGCCATGTGACGTCAGAGAAATGGCGTGGAGCAGCCGGCCGTGGGTCGTTTTATTGTGTCAAAATAGCGGGAGAGACCCAGTGCTGCGTTTGTTCCTGCCGGTTTTACTCTAGAACCCGGACGGTACCCTCAAACAAGCAAAAAAACAAACAAGCAAGCACACAAGTAAACAAACAAACACACAAACACACGACGGTACGTTAAGCCGGTAAACCAAAAGGAAACAGATGAGGTTCCATTGTGTGAGAAGACCAGGTAGATGGACAAAATTGAAGGTTGCAATTTTCCATTTACCTATACAGCAGGCAACAAAGGCCATTCAACCATAAGGACAATGGTGAAGGCTTGCTTGCTACCTTCTGAATGGGTAGTGTTCATTGGTCGGGCCCTGCGGACATGAGGCATACGTGGAAAAGCTTTCAATGAGCTAAGGGAGGTCACCGAAAAAGACGGGGGGGTGGGGCGGGTGGGGGTGGGGAAATAGCAACCATGCCTCTTCGAGTCGAGGCATGGTCAACCGAAGCAAGCCAAATAACCCAGGTTGGAAATGGCAACCATTCTTCAGGGACCCTAGACGGGTTCTGATAAACAGGTTTCGATCGCTTGCACTAGAGGGCAACCATCTGTGTAGCATCCTAGAATGTGGGTATCTCTCCAAGGGACCGCTTCCTTCATTGGTTGGCATCCTTTTTGGTTTCCCCTTTCCCCGTTTGACAGGGGGATTTTTATGGGACCCCTGTCTTGACAGTCTCCAAAAAGTCGCCCGGAGGTATGAACCATGGTCCATCCACACAAAATCGGCGGCTGGTTGCCGGGAGGTACCAAGGAGAAGGAGTCCAAGAAACCGCAGGAGCTGCCTAGGACCCGAATGAGCGACCTGCGAATGAGTGACCTCGGAATGGCCTCCCCTCCTTTTTTCAATTGGGCGAGGGGCGGGGGAAGTGTTTCACTTGTGCGGCACATCTCCCAATAAAGGAAAGGGGGGCTGAGTCCGGGGTTTCGATGAGTGGTTCGAATCCTTTGTGGAGAGGCTGTGGCGGATTTCGGGGCGTCAGGAGCTTCGAGGTGCCAACCCCGGCCCAAACCCCGCGGGACCAGCTGAAGTCGGCGGCCAAGCGGGTCAAGGCACGGTGCGGCTTCATCGTTTTGAGCCAGGGGCCCTAACCTCTAAACCAATCCAAACGACCAAGAGGGAAGCTGATGTCAGTGTTTCAGGTACCCCTCGAAACGTACACCAGGGGTCAAAAGAAACTGCCATAATGGCGGTCTTCCTTTTGGTTTCCATTATATAGGTGACAGGGGTACCCGCCCTCTCATATGGGTGCTCAGAGTGGGTGTGCCAAGAAAATAGGTACCCACAAAACGAAGGAATACGTTTTCCTCATGGTTTTAAAACACAGAAAGGGTACCATAGGTGCGGGTGTGTTTTGTTTTGGCATTTGCCCGTCTGATGTCCAACGGGGAAATGTTGGAACGTGGAGGAGCATACAAAGTCATTGTAGTTGAATTTTGTTGACCCTCATTCTGGTCGAAGAGTCGTTTGACCCTTTTGATTAAAGTGTTTGTTTATTATTATTATTATTATTATTATTACCAGTAAGGTCCGGCAGAGCCGGGGGGCGGAAGTTTCAAAGCAGTGAACAACTATAGTTTGGAGAACTGTCCTTGGCCCCTTGCTTCTCTCTCTCTCTCTTTTTCTCTCTTTGTCTCTTTCTCTCTTTCTCTTTCTCTTTCTCTTTCTGTTTCTCTGTCTCTCTCTCTCTCTCTCTTTTTCTTTCTTTTTTTTCTCTCTTTCTCTTTCTTTTTTTCTCTCTCTCTTTCTCTTTCTTTTTTTTTCCCTTTCCAAAGCTCCCAACGAGCGCTTCAAGTTCAACTCTCCTCCCTCCCCCTCGAGAGCGCCTTTTCTTTGCGTCTGCCCAAGCCGTGCTGTAGTCTGGGCTAGAGCACGCGGCCCGAAACGCACGCGTGTCAAGCGCAAAAGCTAGGCTTTTCTCTTCGTCTGCTTCAGCGGTGCAGCAGTCCGCGCGAGCGCGCGGCCCGACGCGGCACGCGCCGACACGAACGCGCGGCCCGAAACGGCACGCGCGTCATCAAGCACGAAAGCTGGGCGAGGTCAAAGCCTCTTTTACTTTGGCAACCTTAGTCAACGGAGTCATTGCCATGGCGTCTTCCTGAAGACGCTTGATTTTAAGGCTGGGCTGGGAGTCCAAGGAAAGCTGCCACGCCCGACGGCGGGCAAACGGCTCGATATCTGCGTCCGCAGCCGGAAACTGGAAGATCACCTGCCAGTGACGCAAGGAAGGCTCGCCGTCCGTGTCGAACAGAACATGAGGCTGTGCAACCACCCGCAACAGCGTGTCAGGCCGCTGTCGCGCGATGGCCAAGCTGTCTCTGACGCTGACCACCCACGTGAGGTCCGCGCGAATATCTGGCTGCGTGGCGTCTGCGCACTCGAAGATGATTCGCACTCCGCGCTCGGCTTCGTTGCACTCCTGCACAGGATCTTTGGTCGTTATTCGTAGTAAGAGTTCCGCATACTGGACTGGCAGATCCTCACCTGCCGTAATTTGCCCTGCGTCATCCAAGGTCGCGTCTGACAAGTAGATGCATGGGCAGCCCGGGAGTGAGGCGGCCGCGCGCAAGCACAGGAGTGGCTTTGCTGAGCCCGAGTAGGTAAGCGGAGCCTCGCGAACATGCACCACTTGCAAGGTGTTGCGCGCGGCGCGAGAGCCAGTCGGTCCAGAGTACGCTTCGTCGTGCGCCACGACGAAGCGCACAGCCCACTTGCGGGCTCGGATCTCGTGCTCCGCATTCTCTCGCGACTGTACCGCGTCGCCCGGCCGAAACGCCAAGGCAGCACGCAGCACTTCGTCGACGCACTTGGTAAAGATCCTCGCGTCCAGCGTGGCCGTGTGATCCCACACAGTAGCCTCCAGGCTGTAGCACGGCCGGACGCCAGCTTCGTCGTGTTTGTCGCAAGTCTTGCGAAAGCAAGTGGCGCAGCCTGTGTAGTGCCAAGAGTCTTCCGGCACCCGGGACAAGGTCTGCAGGTGAGCCAGCGTGCAGAACGGTGCCTCCCACACGTCCTCGTGAGAGAACTTCTTCGCTTCGGCCGCCGGCAAAAAAGCGCCGAGCGTCGCCAGCGAGACCAAAGTCGCCGGTCCGGCGCCGTAGTCTCGCGCGGCAGCGCCGCCAGCGCGCAGGGATAGTGTCTTGCAGCGCTCGCGGCCAGCCATGTTGGCTCGGAGCTCTTCCGCTTCGACCGCAGGCAGGGCGCACGCGGCGGTCTGCTTGAGCCACTTCAAGGTGAAGCCGTTCTTTGCGTGCTTGGTCACCGCCAGATTGCGGAGCTCCATCATGGCCGGTCGCGGCACCTGTTCTGCCGCTGTCGCTAGCTCACCCCACGCGAGCACTTCCGCCTCGGAGAACTCGCCGGCTTTGCCGGGCTGGCGCAGAGTGAGCTTGAAGAGGCGATCTTTGTCGTCTGTCGCGCGGGAGAACCCACCCGTGACTTCTGCGCGAACATTGACGAGGCCATCTTTCCAGCAAGCGGCCTGGTGCAAGGGCGTGCAAGGCATGCCGGCCGGCAGCTCCAGCGGCGGCGTGGTCTCCTCTTCGACTCCGGCGCCTTTGTCAAAGCGAACAAAGAGGTCGCACTGGCTGTGCGTGTACTTGGCTTTCGAGGCCTGCCGCCTGCTCAGCGCGATCTGCGTGAGGCTGACCACGCACGAAGCCTTCAAAAGAGAGGCAGCGGGTTCGGCCAGCTCGCGCCACGCCTCGATGGCGATGACGTCGCGAGCCGTGTGGCCGCAGACGAGGTAGCACCCGAAGCGGGCGTTGGGCACGTGCTCTACTTCCACGAGGCGTCCAAGCAGTCGCTTAGCGCCGTCTAGCCGTCCAGGCTGCGTCAGCTCGGACGGCCTGACAACCATGGGCCGCTGGCCCGCGGAGGCCATGGCGCCCGCAATCACACGGCCGACCGAAGCGTCAAGCCGCGGGTCCGTGGCGCCCGCAATCGCACGGCCGACCGAAACGCCAAGCCGCGCTGCAACTACCGAAAGCAGTTGTACTCGAAAATGCATGCGTGGGTGCGTGCGCTTGTTGTGCGTGTATATGTGTGTGTGTGTGTATGTGTAGAACCTGCTCAAGACACGACAGTGACTATGATTTGGAGCCGATCGGAGCGCAGTGAACCCCCCGAGTCACACAACCAGCTTTCCAGAGTTCTGCGCATCTGTCTATTTATGCTCTCTCTCTCTCTCTCTTTCTCTTTTTTTTTTTGTTTCTCTCTCTCTCTCTCTCTCTCGAACTCTATACCTGGCAAGCCACCCATGTCGGACCACAATCGCAAGACAGCTACCTGGCAACAGCTTCCTCCCCCCCCCCCGGTGGTGTAGGAACCTTCAGAGCCCTGTGACTGTGACACCATGTGGCAAAAAGGAACAAGTCTTACAACAAGCCTCACCAAAGCGGCCCCATCTTTTCTACTCCGGGCCCTCTGCTCCGCACGCTCGTAGGCACGCTGGCCGAAGCGCCAAGCGCGTCCGTCGGTGCCAACATCCGTGCTGACACGTCGCGCGCGTCGCCGGCCGAAGCGCCAAGCGACGACTACGCCTGCGTGACATCACGTCGCAGGTGGCAGCTGCCTGCGGCCCAAGATGAGTTCCCACGCAAGTCGTCCGTGCTCTGAAGACATGCGCGCGACTTCGCGAACTTTGCTGAACATGATCCACTGCCTGCACGTCTCCACGCCACTGATGCTCAGACGATCGCACTGCCGCTGAGCCGCTGTGTCCGACACGCCGGGCCCATGGATTGTGTCCCAGCACCGCTCGCACACACCTGTGCGCTCCAGCTCGCGTCTGCCTGGCTCTGTTTGCCACCTGTCGTCGGCTATGGCTTTCGTGCACGCCACGCATTCCTGCGAAGCCAAGCGCTCGGGCACGCTTAGGTTTCTCCTGTACACGTCCTTCAGCGCATTCAGCGCGTCGCCGCTGATGCTCACGAAAGTCGCCATGTCA